ATTTTTAATTTAATTGAACATGAAGCTAGCAGTGAATTTAAAACAAAAACATTTTCAACTAGTGTAAAATCAAAGTTTTGTGACTGGGCCACGTTTGGTATTTATAAGTCTAGGGCTAATCTTTACGAACTTTACGAAAAACGAAGCTATATATCCGATCCCTTATTTCATGAACATGTAAAATCTTATTCGAAAATATTTAAAAAGGTTTGTCATACAGCTAAGTCTCTCTATTTAGGTAAAATAATAACTAAATCTAAAGATAAAATAAAAGCCACTTGGAAAGTAATAAATAGCGAAACTGGAAAAGTTAATTTTCAAAATAGCAAAATAGCTTTAAATATTAATAACAAATTGGTAAATTCCGACACAGAGGTCGCGCATACATTCGAATCTTATTTTACTAATATTCCATTAATTACGACACAGGTTCTAAAATCTTCCCCGTCTGCTGCTGAAACTTTACTAACAGACAATGTTAGCAAGTCATCAGCTGTATTTAACTTTAGACATACATCATCAGTAGAAATAATGAAAATATTCAAACAGCTTAATAATAAAAAAACAGAGGATCTATGGGGTATATCTGTTAAAATACTGGATAGTATAATGGAAATTATTGCGCCCTCTCTTGCTTTTATTTTCAATAAATGTATAGATGAAGGTAAATTTCCTAACATAATGAAAATTAGTAAAATCATACCGCTTTTTAAATCTGGAGATAGGAGTGACCCAATAAATTATAGACCTATATCTATACTCCCAGCACTCAGTAAAATTTTTGAAAAAATAATCCTTATGCAACTTGTCAGTTATTTCAATTTAAATAATTTAATCCACAATAGTCAATTCGGTTTTTCCAAAGGTCGTTCAACTACAGACGCAGGTGCAGAGTTGCTTAGACACGTATTTGCTGCATGGGAAACTAAAATGGATGCGATAGGTGTTTTTTGTGACCTTTCTAAGGCTTTTGATTGCGTTGATCATAATACATTGCTAAAAAAACTTGCTTTTTATGGCGTCAAAGACAATGCTTTAAATTTAATAAAATCTTATCTATCTGATAGAATACAGAAAGTGAAGGTTAGCAACGCTACGTCTGACGGGTCACTTGTGCAAATGGGTGTACCTCAAGGATCTATTCTCGGTCCATTTTTATTCCTAGTTTACATTAATGATCTCCCATATGCCATGCAGGATAGATGCGGCATAGTATTATTTGCAGACGATACTTCATTGATTTTTAAAGTTAATAGAATGACTAATAATTATGACGATGTAAATAGTGCTTTGCGGCGTCTCCTGCACTGGTTTACAACTAACAATCTTATGTTAAACGCTAAAAAAACAAAATGTGTTAATTTCTCTCTGTCTAAAAGTTTTAATACCAATTGCAATATTAAATTAAATGACGAATCTCTCGAATTTATAGAATCTACTGTCTTTCTAGGAATCACACTAGATAATAAAACACAATGGGGTGCACAAATTCAAAGCCTTGCAGCGAAACTAAGTTCAGCAGCTTTTGCCGTGCGTAAGGTTAGACAGTACACTGATACTGATACTGCTAGATTAGTCTATTTTAGTTATTTTCATAGTTTACTCTCTTATGGAATATTACTATGGGGAAAAGCGGCAGATATTAAAAATATATTCATATTACAAAAACGTGCCGTTCGAGCGATCTACTGTATGAAGAGTCGTGACTCATTAAGAGAGAAATTCAAAGAAGCAAATATTCTCACCGTTGCTTCTCAATTTATATATTCAAATATCCTATATGTTCATAAAAATCTTGACTTATTTCCAAAAAACAGCAATATTCATAATATTAATACTAGATTTAAAGACAAACTTGCTGTCCCCAAGTATCGTTTAGAAAAAGTTAATAGGTCTTTTATGGGAATAGGTATAAAAATTTACAATAAGATACCAAAGGATATGTTGGAATTACCCTTAAATAAATTCAAAACATCTGTTAAATCATATTTACTGAGCAAAGCCTATTACTCACTAAACGATTACTTGAATGACGAGTGTGTATGGCAATAGTTGTTCATGCACTGAATTTTCATTTAATGTTAGACATAGATAGTTGTTCATGCACTGAATTTTCATTTAATGTTAGACATAGACACCTATATAAATATACATTGTAAATAAACTGGCTTTAAAAAAAAAAAAAAAGTAATTCAATTGAGTTTCTTGCCAGTTCTTCTCAATTGGATCTATATACCGAACTGGACGGTAGGGAAAAAAATAAAATTATAATGTAAAAATTTGACGTTCATAAGCGGCTAAAATGTCCTACATGAATAAATGATTTTTGAATTTTGAATTTTTTGAATTTTATATATACATACATACATACATACATAACAACATGCAATAAATAGATACAACACAACACAAAATAATGCAAGCAGCAAGTAACTGTGATACACGCATAGGAATAATACCTGCTAGTAATATAACAATGGTGACGACAGAAAAGAAACATTATAAGGAAAGATAATGTGATTTGACCGAGTTCTTAAAGCTGGGTAGTGATCGTGAGCTACGTATGGAGGAAGGTAATGAGTATAAATTTAGGCTATTATTAAGGATATATTTTTCTTCTTTTATTAATTTTCTCAACTTGAAATAAAGTTTAAGTAAAACAACTATAATATTTTTAATGGCTTAAAGTGTTTAATAGTAATGATTAATTAATAAACGCGGAATCTTTAAAATATTTCATATTTCATATTACTTTATTCACAAATGTAACAAATCTCGTTACACAACAGCATGTCAATAGTAATTACATTTTTAAGATAATTATGTCACAATTACAATTTTAAGTATTCAAAATAATAAATTAAATAATATATAACATAGTAATAAAAGTCACTTAATGGAAAATGTCATAATTGTACATTGGAATTCAGATATTCCGTCACATTGTAAAAAGGATGTTGTTCGAAATATGATTTTATTTTGTTCTTAAATTCTGTTGATGTTAATTGCATTGTTTTATTTGATAGTTTATTGTACATTTTTATTTTTAAGTAAATACCTTGTTTTATTGTTTTTGTAAGTCGTAATCTTGGTAATTCTAATTTATGTCCATTTCGTGTCATGTAATTATGGTTATCCGCCTTTTTACGCAGTGTTTTGCTCTTTTCGTGTATGTCTAACAAGGAATAGTATATGAACAATGATGTAACTGTCATTATACGCTGTTCAATGAAATACGGTCTCACAGAGGTGCGTCTATGGATTCCGCATATAATTCTGATAGCTTCTACAATTCTTCTATAATACACTTCTGTTAAATATGCAAATATATTTGCACATAAAATTTAAGGTCAACAGTAGCACCGTCCGATTTTTCATCTGCCGCTCTATATTTGAACTCAACTCAAAATCATCAAGTTCTATATTGTATCCAGTAATGTTAATTTGTATTAAAATTAAATATCTGATTATATTTTAATAAATAATAGATTATTAATACAGGATTGAGATACCAGACATTACGAGAATGAACATTGTACCCATGTTTAAATAAATATCATCGCTGAGTAATGTTTAACACCAGATACAAAATTGGTTTTAGTGCCTTATACGTAATGCTATCTACAACGATACTAACTGAATGATTTGAAGTAGATAGCCGTAACAACTCTCATATTTACGTTACATACACTGCGTCGCCTACTGACTATTACGACATCCTCAATTGTAATATTTTCAGAACATACTTCTGAAAAACTTTTATGTTTGAAATTATAGTCCAAATCAAAGAAACGTGCTATGTTTAAACTTGCTATTTTTCATTTATTTCTGGTAATATACCGTTTCGTTATCTATGTAAAAATTAAATAGTAAAACAGACCAAAATTATAATATAAAATTGAACTATGTCCTTATATTATAATATCATTTATCTCTTTAAAACGATCTTTAAATTTAAATCTTTAACACACTCGTAGGTATTATTAGCAAGGTAGACTTTGGTCAGCCCTTTCAATGATTACCTCTGTATCACCTACCAAATAGGCTCAAGGGTCATATGAACTGTGATATGAATTTATAGAACAAGGATTTATGATGTCTTAGTTCTCCGAAATAGCAATGGATGAACGCTACCATAGATCTCACAAGATGATAAGCTATTCGTTTACCATCTCGATGAGCCGTAAGCTTATTAGTGAATTGTATGTTTATTACACCAATGTATGTAAATTAGATCAATAGAATTGCACATATTCGCACGAAATTCGTTGCGAACTACAAATTAATTAAATTCGTGCTGTGTCCTCGGTCTTTATTTATAATATAAATCTCCAAAATAAGCGTATAACATCTTATATGACCAATATCGTGAAGAAAAGCTAAGTACAACTCCATCACCTAATAAAAAAAACAGAGCAATAGTTTCTTCTTGCGAACGGATTATCGAATACGCCTGTTAGTTTTTTTAAGCAAAATATGTAGTTATGGCTATGCTCTAAAGTTTCCACAGGTATGCGGTACATTCGGTTTCAATATCTATATAAAAGTGGCGTGAAGTTACAGTTACATTATTCATAGCAGAATGTATAAAGTATAATAAGTATAAAATACAGAAATAAGATTGTGCTTTTCCAACATACGTTTCGTTTTTGCTACGGTGCGACTGAACATTCAATAGAAATATTAAATAATTTAGTTGTAGTATCACAATATTACAAAATTAAATAAACCTCTTTTTAATAACAATGTTGTTCTATTTATTACTTAATAACGTTTATTTTTAATCCATAGGACGTGAATGGAAGCGAACGTTTTTGACTTGAAATATGCACCTACCACCTAATTAATATCTACACTATTTATTTCTCTGTCTTTTTTCGGAACAATCAACATATACACAATATGTGACAACAGCATTGTTAGCATTGCTCTTTAATTCCGATTACCTCATTCTACCCCTCCCCGTCACCTTCTGCCCTCCCTCCGTACAGGCTATCCTTCATTGATAAGAGTATGAATTCAGTCGATGAAATAATATTAGTTCAGTAACATACACCGATTATATGTTATTGCTATACCACATGTCAAGTGAGTATACAGCTTCTGTATGTGTAGTGTATTTTTTTTTGTTTATTCAGAAAGATAGATACATTGTATTGTATCATATAACTTGCTAAACTACAGTTTATATTAGCAGTTTCTGATGTAGACTTTGTGATTGTCTGTGTGAGTACTTCTATCTCACTTATTTCAGCGAAGCGACTGGCTCTTTGTAAGTAGATAAGGCAATTTTATAAGTATAAATATACATATAATGATAAAGTAAAATTACAGGATACAAAGGTTTATTTGTCCGTAATGGTAACACGTGGTGTAGTCATGGCCCATAAGTTTGTATGTCATTCCATTTGCAGTTTTTCATATAAATAATTATAATATAATTAAAACGCTCCCTTTATCAAAACAAACTATCCGAAATTGAAATAGTCCACTTTGTACCAAAATTAAACCTATAATTCGGTTATACATTTTATGTTTATTTTCATTTCTGGTTATCAACAATCCAATAGTTCACAGTATGATGCCATTTTAAAAATTATTAATAATTATACCTAATTGTTCATTTCTTGTAGACACACGATCATGACATTGTTATTATAATGATATATTTCTTCACATAACTTGTTCTTCTTTTTTACATTAAGTAGATAGTTTTACCACCACAACCAAGGATGTACACATAAAGCATTATTATTTCAAAATCATATATGGTGGTAAGTTAGGTAAGTTGAAATAAATACTACAGTCACGGTGGTCAAGCGGTTTCGCAGGTTCGATTCCTCGGATGTTGCAAGTAATCGTGAGGTATAATTAGTTTGAAAGAATATTATTTGATTAGCATTTTAATTTTCAGATCAGGACAATAAGTATGGCTACTACGGTTCTATCGCTTACGTACGTACTCCTATGTACTCGTACCGGCCAGTACGTCGTGTGACAGAGCCACATCAGCCACCAAATGTGACCGCCCGAAGTTAGTAGGTATTATTAAATTAAAAGTCATATTAAAGCTTAGTACTACAACAACAACTAGTTACATTCAGCGGGCATAAAATACAATTGATTTTTAACTTGAATTTAATTTATTAAAAAAAACTATTATTATTTTGAAACACTAGATTTAAAGTATTTTAAGTTTATTTATACAGTGTTAAATGTTTTTAATTTTTTGGCAATTAAATTCTTTTGTTTTAACCCGCAATCTTTGTTGGAAAATGTAAGCCCATTCTAATTTTAGCTATCATTCATATTTTTATAATGGTTTAAAATCGCTTTAAAGAGGATTGTTGAAGAAGTGCTTTTTTATGATTGTATATTAAAATAAATATATTTTTAGTTTACAATTATTTTTAATATCGTAAATCAACTTCCGACCTTAATGTCAATATATTTTAATTTCCAGTCGATGGGAGACGAGGAAATACTAGACAAGCCGTTACTATTCAACAAGACACGGCACAGTCCACTACAATACCAGTCACTAAGACACCAGAGGATACAAGACCGGATAATATTCAATGGATTCTAGCTAATACGAGAACAGTTAAAACTCTTCGAAACAAAGTATTAGTGGCAGGACATGAAGGCAAGGACGGTAGTCCATTTTGCATCATTAGAGCGAACCACATCGATGCATTAATTCCAGGAAAACTGGCTATTAAACAAGGATCTGCATGTATAACCCATAACAGTGCAGAAGTTCAAGTAAAAAAATTCGAGGTAAATATTTGATAGTTTTTAAGTATAATGTCATCTCAAAATTCGCTATTTTGTTACTACACTGGTACCTATTCTGTTTTTTTTTTTTATTTTGGTTGTGTATTAATAAAACTATACCATAATTAATACTGGTACATCATTCTCGTCTACTTAATTTATATTTGATTTGCATTAGGTAATCTACTATTTCACACAGCGCCATCTAGTCCCAATCTAAGCAGACCTTGTGTTAGGAGTACTAAACGACTAATAGATATACTTAAGTATTTTTTTATTAATTAATATAAAGAAAACGCCCATTACAATACAAAAAATCATATTCATGAATGCATTGATTCCGAAGTGGGGATAACAAAAATCGCACAGTTAAACGCAGTGTAGGGCGTTACTTAAGTGGGTAGCGATTCAAAATTTTTCTAGGCCACTTTATCTTGTCCCGGACACATTCTATCATGTCTTTTGCAACTACATCCTCCCACGCCCTTTCCTTGGTCTGCCTTTCTATAGTTTCGGTAGGTACCATCTAGTTCCGTAGAACCGGTTCTTGTTACATTTAAATAAATATATACTGTTTCAGGTGTTATGTGCCAACCCTGATGATGTGTGCTGGCTTTCAAATAGTGACGGCAAGGTACCACCCGGAGCCGTCGCTGCTGGCTACACCCAGGCTGGTGAAACACTCTATATCGGGAGAGTAAATAATTTAAAATCTGTCATCCCAGGCAAAGTAAGTTTAAGGAAGTCAAATAACTTGTCTGCTTTAATCATATGAAAGATTTTTAATTTAGACTACTTAAGTATTGGATTTTTACATTCATATTATTATTAATGATAAGTAGATCATTGATAATACTACAAAAGGAAAAGTTATGAAGATTTGAATATGTTCAATTATATATATGAAGTATTAGTAAGAAATTAAAATTCAAAATCTTATAACAATAGGTAAAATCATATTTTTTGTAACATAAGGGCATACATATGTTTTAACAATTATTATTATTATTATTAAATAGTAATCCTTTTCGTCTTTGCAGATTCAGCCCAGTAACAAGTGCTGCTTCATTTCAGTCGACGGAATAGAAATTTGGTACAAAAAATATGAAGTTCTATGCGAAAATATTCACTAGCCATCACCATCGTCTTTGCCCGCACAATTGTGTAATGAAAAGTCTTCGAATTAAAGAGTAACTCATTCGTTACTTTACGCTCTTTTTTTTTAATTATGTAACCAACAATTATAACGCGACTAAATCATTCATATTGTTTGAAAACTACAACTTAGGGTTATTCAATATATACAATGTTTTTTTTATTTGTGCTTTTTTAACCAATAAAATATGGTATATGTATAATCAAGTTGTTTAAATGGTCAAAGTAAAATTTACAGATTATAGCAACTGAGAAGTTGTATTTTAAAAAAACATGGCTAATTCATCAGTTATTAATGTATTGCTTTCGAAGCACTTGGCACGAAGTAACAACCTAGGGAAATAGATAGTATTTAGTAGTTTGAACGAATTATCAACGGCTCAAACCATTGTTTTCTTCGAGCGTTTATTTTTAGTCACCTGACCGTTAAAGACAACTTTTATTTTTTTGCACCTATGAGAGCTTAAAAACTTAAAAATGAGTGTTATTTCAGGCCTTGTGGTCTGGCAGACGTTACATTCTCAAATGTAAAAAACTCTGAGCTATTGAAAAAATATTATTGAAGACCATAATTGTAATACAAGAATGTTATATACACTCTTGTATTATGATTATGGTCTTCATAAGGATGTATAATATTAAGGTATTATATGAATAAATAACATTAATATCTACAGAATCAGTTTAGAACTTAACACTAAAAACCTTAAAAAATATAATGTACTATATATAATATATAAAAATATAATATAATATTTAACTATATAATATTATGTTATCTGTGATTTAACTCACACAACAAAAAACTACCAAGGTATAATCTTTGTAATTAAATAAACTTCGAATAACGCAATAAGAATTTAATATATATATGCTTCATTTTATCAAAATCATTACCATTATTTACGTCAACGTATACCCTGCAGTTATTATTCATCATTGCTTTGCCTTTATCCCATTATTTGGGGTCGTATAAGATTAGTTACCAATAAATAATATGAAAATAAATCCTCAAAATAATTCAATAAGTAATTGAGTACCTCATCACGTTTATTTAAATGATTGAAAATACGACTGTTTAAAATTGCTAAAATTTAAGTTTAGTTTGAGTCAAGAATTTTCTATTCTATTATATTTCTAGATAGTTCATTTCATTTCATTTAGTTTCATTTCATTTCAGATAATATATTTCGAAATATAATATATAATAATGTAAGGATTACTTGATTAAGAAGAAAAGAAAAAATGCGTATATGACCAAAAAAGAAATATTTCCGCCGTCCCTAAAGCGAAAATGCTGCTCAACGAATTCCTTGGAATGCATATTAATTGTTTATTGTAGCATCCTTTTAGATATTTTTTAAACTGTACAGTGATCAGATGTGTTTCTGCGGACTAGCGGGATAGCGACGCAATCCAACTGCCACCAAACACCTTGCTGTGAAGCAGTGTTTTGTGTGGGGGGTTATAGGGTCAGTAAAAATAGATACAGGGTTGAGAGGCAAAACTTCTTAGTCTTCCGGAATGGGTATGTATATTACTATGTGGACAATCAGCATGTTTCTCACTCGCCATTACGCAGAAAAAAAATTGTCCATAAAAAGAATCGACGAGTAACAAAAATTGTACGTGTCCACTATAGTAAGTAATCCGTAGTTAATTTAACAAAATCAATAGCAATCAATCACTTTTAATTCTAATCTAATTTTCGACTCTAATTTTGAAGTGACATTAAAATATAAGTGAGTCACATACTCAATAAAATGTTTGCAACATTGTGAAATAGTCAATTATATAATTTATCAGATCAGTTATATCAATGGGTTATCCTTTTGTTCATAAATTAACGTTTTAAACAAAATAAAGATAAACAAATGACTTAATTACATACTTGCTGTACCTACTACTCATATATAAAATAGCCTACACACGGTCCAGTAGGGGCAATGTGGGCGCAGTAACGAGGAGGGCCCTGGATCGGTTCTAGATTGCAAAAATGTGTCCCAAATTCACATATGTAGAACTGATTTTACCCCCACCAAAACTCAAATATACCTCTGATTTTAGAACCGTGTCGTTGAGTATTAATATTGGCGCCGAGTCTTGTCTACAATTTCGATACACACAAGAAGCTATGCAGATCGTCCCTCACTACTGCTTCGATATACAGCAGTGTATAGAACTTATAATGAAAACAAAGACCCTTACAAATTATGTTATACTCGTACTCTTACAAGACTTATCCCAAGTCTGATTCGCAATTAACCCACATATATTTATAGTACACGAAGCAAGCATGGCTCACCCACTCTTCGCGTGTCTTAATAATCAATTTTATCTAATCATATAGATAATTCAGTACAATATATCGATAATATGAATCATAAAATGAATTTATCAGTGAAAGCACGTAGACCAATACTGTGTTTTTGTATATTACATGCAGTGTTATTGTTGTTCAACTAAAAATTTAACGAGTTGCCTTGTCATGGCATGTAAGTATACATTTAATTTAATTACTGTGTGTTAGTGACATAATTCATAATAATAATTTAGTGTTCAGGACTACTGATATGATTTCCAGAGAAATTTCATTATGTAACATGTTGCTAAAAAATCTTATGCGAAACTGAATATCTACAGTTTTTAGTAGTACTTTTTGTTTAAGACAACTTGTAATTGCATCTCTCAACCAAGTTAATCAAGTAAAAAGGCCTACAGATACTAGAATAAATAATGAATTCAGGTACCATCTATCTCTGCATTTACCAAATTTTGATTGGCGTTGAAGCTAATGTAGTCGTGGTATTTCAAACTTTTGTTTTTCTGAAACTGATTTTTAATTTTAATGAGAATATTAAACACATTTTTTCTTAACAAATCAAATATTATAACGATAAAAGATTTGATTCAACAAAATTTTATAATCAAGTAGTAGCCTAACTTGAATATGTGTTTTATCATAATCGGTCGAGCAAATCATGACATACCTACCGATACAGCTTGTCTAGACTGAGTATAAAATGTTTTGTTATTTTATTAACAAAGATGTTTACACAGATCATGCAGATCATGTCTATGACGTTTTTATTATTATGTCAGCTAACAATTGTAAATACATACTTAAATCACCATATACATATATGGTGATTTAAAGATGTCTTTGCAAGAAAGCCATTGTATTAATTATTTCTGAAAGACTGCGCAGTTGTAACATCATGTTCATCGTCGACTCTCATTACATTTATAGTATGTAGACTAGCAACTTTTTTATATAACACGTAGGTGGCAAACTTAGCACGGTTTCGCACTAGTGTGGGTACTGTATATGTAAAAACATATATACAGCACGTCTGTGAGTAATTATCGAAATGACAGTGACAACCATATCAGAAACAAAATGAAAATAATATAAACATTGCAATTTTAAGACTAAACCAATAACGCAACTACGCAGTTGGTATGAAGGATTTAATTTCCATTACTTTTTGTCTAAATTTGATCAGTTTCATTAACACTATCATAGATCTTTAGATAGATATATTATTTGGAACTAATACTGTAGACAAATTAACGGAGAATACTTATATATACTATATATACTATATAGGATGCAAAGAATAGATAATGGAACCAGGTCATTTTAGACTAAAAGAAGAACGTAAATACTATACTTAAAAAACTATTCCTAGGCATAATGTTGCGTAAAAAATCTATTGAAAAGCCTTTATACGTCTAGGTAAATTCACACAAAGCTAAAGATGAAGAAGTAGGAGATGAACGCTAATAAATGACAGAAGGATTAATTCACTTGCTCTAATGGAGCCAAGGTTACAGGGCCCCCAGACATTACTTATTTGCTGAGTAACGAAACAGGTTGGATATATGTTAGTGTATATACATATATAATATATTTAGTGTATTAAATTATTCGTGCACTTGAGCGTGTGCGAGATGATGCTGGTGATCTCTGCTGTAAAAACAGCATTAGTATACACATATTTTTAAAAATATAACAGTATTAACCTTCCAATCTGAAGCCAACGACTGCATCTTAGAATGTTTGTAAGTTTATTATACTGTTATTGTACTAATAATTACTACAATAAGCACTCACACGTCAAAAATATTTACATTACACATTCGCATTTAAATTTTCAGACTTACAACCACCAGGATCACCGCCGCAATACAGACGGTATTCTGCTCGACCAAAGCCCTCTTCTTCAATTTATATGGCTCCTGGCTCAGTTACTTGCGTAATATCCCCAACCATTGTAGTATTTCCACACCAAGTAACTGTCAAGTCTCATTCCCAGCAGCAGCCGAAAGAGACTTACGACAGATTTTTTTATCATAAACCAAGACTACATTCAAACAATTTCGTCGAAAAAGGTACTAAATTACTCTATACTCTTGAAACGTAAGTATTACGACGAAATTCCATTTTTATTATAATATTACTTTCAAGTTAATTTCAAATTTAGTTATGCCAATACCGATATCGATATTCGTAAATTTATGAAGTGTGTACCGACTATTTCAAACAGTATTCTCTATTGTTCGTAACTAATTACGTTTAATATCTTATATATAAAATTCTCTTGTCACCGTTTTCGTTCCCATACTCCTCCGAAACGACTTGACCGATTCTCATGAAATTTTGTGAGCGTATTGAGAAGGTCTGAGAATCGGCCAACATCTATTTTTCATCCCCCTAAATGTTAGGGGTAGTCCATTCCTATTTTTTTTTTATTTTAAGGCAAAACAACGTTTGCCGGGACAGCTAGTCTTATGTATAAAATTCTCGTGTCACAATGTAACTAACCATACTCCTCCGAAACGGCTTGACCGATTTTGATGAATATTTATATGTATATTCAGTAGGTCTGAGAATCGGCTTAGGTTTAGCATACCGCTTTACTATCCGATGGTCGCGGGTTCGATTCCTCGCACGGTGCAAACATTTGTATTCATGAGTATGATTGTTTGTATCGGTCTGGGTGTTTTCTATGTATGTATTTACGAAAAAAAATATTATCTTTATATATATATATATATTTGTATCAGTTATCTAGTACCCATAACACAAGCTTTAGTTAGCTTAACTTGGGTCTAGATGGCGCTGTGTGAATTGTTCTGAGATTATTATTATTATATTATTTTATTATTATTTAGAATTGAAAAATGCATACAACCCGAAATTTTCACACTTCTAGCATGAACTCTAATTTTTTTATAGCGTTATTAATTTATATGGCAAAACAACGTTTGCCGGGACAGCTAGTTATTATTATAAAAAGCGATCTATTTCTTATAACTAATTGTTTTTTAGCGTTGGAATTAGACAAAATGATAAACAAAATATTGTCTGTACAATATTAAAAAAATTTTAAAGAATGAGTAATAAACCTATTCTCGAACTCACCAATAATAACAAAACTAGTAGCATAGATAAGCTGGTAATAAACAATTATTACACACACGAGTTTATCGTAAAAAGTACCGAAATTTGTTTTATATTTAACATTATTATATTTATATTAAACAGTGTTACATTTTCTTAAATGTTTTTATATAATTATTATTTGTAAACACAATAAATTTGCTCAAAAAATATTGAGAAATCTCTATAAAACCAAAAAAAAAATACTTTAATCAACAGTGCTGGACTGTTTAGCTGTGTAAAACTTTATAAAACTTGTTAAGAAAAACGGCAATAATTATTTACTTAAATTAAAAATTAACAATGGTAACATCTGCTTATGTTCTACAGAACTTTATACAAGCTCTATCTAGATTTGCTCTACCGATTTTGATAAAAGACACATTTCTTTAGTATGCAATCATTTTCTGACATCCATTCTGAGTGAATAAAATATAAAAATGTAATGGGACATCCATTACTCATAAATTTCCTAGACTATTTCTCCACAACAAAGAATTCATTGTACAGATTCTTCAACTCTTATTTAGTTATAAATAGTATATACTAGCTTTAGTGTGTGATACAAATCTACAATTTTTTTTATGTAATAAATTCTAGATCCCATTAACTGGGTGTCCTCTACGATAGACAGAGTCCACGATATTCAAGATGAAGCACTTTTAGCAGGAATAGATGAAGTAGATGGCAGTCCACTTTACATCATTAGAATGTACCATAAGCGAGATTTAATTCCTGGGAAATTAGCAATTTCACGCAGGGAAGCATATTTACCCTATGGAGGGAAAGAAGTCAAAGTGATCAATTTTGAGGTAATTATTTGTGTAATTGGACTAGATTTAGCAATTTTTATGTTACTGCAATGGTAATAAAACAGATAGTAAGTGATCGTGGCCTATACATATAGATATATAACTTTGACACCCTGTAGCGCTCTAACAAAGCACTTTAATTCCGATGGCCGCGAATTATATTTCTCGGATAGTACAAATATTTGTATTCATGAGTATGCTTGTTTGTATTGGTCTGGGTGTTTTCTAAATATATTATGTATGTATATACAAAAAAATATACCAAATAGACAAGATGGCGCTGTGTGATTGTCGAGGCTTATATATTAACAACGACACAAACTTCACATCAGGTTAGGACGCCTATTGTAACCTTCATGCATAGCCATTCAAGACTATACTGTTATACCTAGACCGTACGGACGTAGCCTGTACATTTTCTCTCTTAATATAAACACTTCTTCTTCTTCTTCATCTCACTCTTAATATAAACACATTACAAAGTAAGCTCTTTGGTGGCTGAAATAGGTAGGATTTTGATAGTTTCACTTAAATGTTTTCTGCACAAAATAAAAGTGGCGTACATAACATTTTATATTTTTTATAAATGCGATTGTTATCATCCAATTTTGTAAGCTTAACAACTACTATAAGTAAATCTTATATTATTCATATTTCAGGTGTTATGTGTTCCTAATAGTGCTGTCCGCTGGATTAGTTCTAGTCGTGGTAAGGTACCACCTGGAGCAATACCTGCTGGTCAATCGGCTGAAGAGATTCTCTATATTGGCCGAGTAAAGCATATGTCCTCCATTACCCCGGGCAAAGTAAGTTATAAACGATATCTTTGTCTCTCTAAACATAAGGTAGCATTTTAACTCAATTAAGTATCTAAGTACCTTCTTGTTGTGTTTTTACTATCTTATATGATGATGAACTTTACCTCAAAGATTATCCTATAAAACTTGGTTTCCATTCTTGCTAGCTAAGTTGTTATTACATATATACTCCTACTTACGAGTTATTGCGTCAATGATTTTTGTAAGTACTAACTACACTGGATGGATTATCTGGAGACAAAGTTATTTATCTCCCAAGAATACTGAAAGAAGCTAATGAAATTTACAAATATTAAAATTTCAATAGAGAAAGCGATTTTAAGTTATCCCACACATATAATCCAGCGATAGATATATTTCAAAGTAAGTATAAAGCTAAATAAATATGCTTAAAAAAATTGAAGTATTACAGTGATTGTGTCTTGTAGTGACTTTTAAGTGCTTTACAGTAGTAGTAGTGACGATGTATGTAATAAAATACTAAGAAGAAGACGGATTTGTCTGCTCGTTTGAGTGTTTACATCAAGTGTTAAGATTATCATAGTAAATATCCCGTTTATATAATGTGTAGATACGAATGTAACCAACCGTGAAAAAAGTTTGAAGTATTTGAGATACTTCAAACTTTTTTCACGGTTGGTTACATTCGTATCTACACATTATTTGAAGTACACATTAATGACACAGAAAATTGAAGTATATGTAATAAAATTGCATGCAGATTAAAATCCTTACTAATATTATAAATGCGAAAGTAACTCTGTCTGTCTGTCTGTCTCTCTTTCACGCCAAAACTACTGAACAGTTTTAAATGAAATTTGGTACGCAGTTAGTCTAGACTGCGAGGAAGGACATAGGCTACTTTTTAATGCGAAAAAAGAGTTGTAAGGGGTTGAAAATGGATATACAATGTTATCTTTATGCGGTTGAATAGATATAGTGTTGTACATATATGTCATTTTTATAAGCAGCGCGCATGCGAAGTTGCACGCGCAACTGATTAGGGTAAAAGCCGGATAGATGCCCCACTTTTCGAAAAAGCTTCATATTTTAAAAATATGAACTTTCTGGAAATTTTCAGTATGTATCTCTAAACATAGGTCTTTTATCTTGTATAAAAGCCTATTTTTGTATACATATTTAGCACTGGTTTTGAATAAATACTGTTTTATTTTACCTCGAAGAAAAGGGATAGTTGCCTACTGTGGCGGATAAGCCTAGCGTGGAAAATGCTTCGGAGGATACTTGCCTCGAGGGGGGATAGTAACCTCGGTATGATTTTTATTTCGGATAGAAAGAAATTTATATCAATTAGAGTAATCTTTATTATTTATTTAACAGTATTTATAATTTACTGAGATTGAAGAGAGGAAAACTGGCGTCTCCGTACTTCTATATATGAGAGATATATAAGAAAATATCCTGTTGTTGGCTTTGAGAATTAAAAAAAGACTGGTAGTCTTTTTTTAATTCTCAAAGCCAACAACAGGATATTTTCTTAGAAAACATAAAAAATACAATAAGTTCAGACAAGAAAGTAGGTATGCAGATAGAAATTTGTATTTCTATTGCTATATATAGGTACACCCTTATATAAAAAAATTGTTGATTACTCTTTTCATAGCGTCTTCTTAAAGTTTCAGAGGATATTCCGTATATTCGAGAAATTTCATCGATATCTTTTTTTTTTGTCTCAATTCTTCGAAGGCAAGTGCTAAGCGAACCAGTTGATATTGCGTGGCACCACGCCTGGTTTTCGCTTATATTTGCAAGGGATTTTGCTTATCTAGAATAAATATATACCTAAAACAGTGAAGTACATATTTATTTGATTTACAACAAGTTAGAGTTAAAGTAAATTCGAAAAAACAGCAAAAAAAAATTTAATCCGTCTTTCCTTGTTTAGAAATTTTAAATCATTCTAGGGCAACTATCCCCGACAGTAAGGGGCGACTATCCTTTTTGATGCGTATACTTGCCCTTTTTATTTGCGAAATAAATAAAAATAATTTTGCAATAAAATATAATAAACAATGTAATTTAAACTGTAATGCATACAAAGAAACAAAAAGTTGACTGAAACCACGATCAGTTATAAAAATATTCAATAGAAATGACTTACCAATATAAATATAACGCTCGTCAAAGTTTCGCCGCGGTACATTTTGGCTCATTCTGATAAAACACATACGGCTATTCCGATGGCTTATGTGTCTTTAATGCCTACGGGGTGGTCACTACTTATTGTAGTAAAGCACCAACACAACTTATAATCATAACATAGTTTTTAAAAAACCGGGGCATGTATCCCACCGAGGCAAGTATCCGGCTTTAACCCTATTGTCAATCCGTTGTCTCCTTATAATTAAATATATACGTTTACTCTGCAATTTTATTTTATAAATACATAAATATAATCCTGGTACCGCCTATAACTGGTGACCCCGCTCTTGGACAAGAACGTAAGAACATATTCATATTTTTGAAGAACAAAACGACATATAATATTAATAATTTTGTCTATATATATATGAACATGTCCTTGGAGGAAACAACACCTACCGAGCTATTCAGGGTCGGAATACGGGTTCCTCCCTTCTGGCCAGAAGAGTTGGAGATATGGTTCGCGCAAGTAGAGTGACTGTTTGCAATTTCGAAAATCACAACTATTGATTTAACAAAAAAATATTAAAATTTTCAAAAGAAAATAAAGAAATTTTACATTGTTTATTAAATATAAATAAAGACGACATTTAAAATTTGTAAAAATTACCATTCAAGGGCTAAAATAAAATAGCAAATAAAAGTTTTTATGGAGATTCGTCACATTGAAGCTAGAACTATGAAACTTTTCTCATTCGTTTTTTTGTGTTAGTTTAATAAATACCGTACTGATATTATGAATGTAAAAGTTACTCTGTCTGTCTGTCTGTCTGTTTCAATTACATGCCAAAAACTACTGAACTGATTTAAATAAAATTTTGTACACAGGTAGTCTAGATAAATGGATTGTAAGAGATTGAAAGAGGAGGTTGTATAGAAGTATCATCAATTTTAAAGGTTGAAGCTTGAATCCTATTTTTTTGGCTATTGATTAAATATAATTAAGGAAAATGAGTTGTAAGGGTCAAAAGGGGAATAGAAATGTATTAACATGTAAATGCAGGTATTAACATTTTTAAAGTTTGAAAGTAATGTTTAGGCTGTTCAAATAATATAAATATATAAAAAGGGTTGTAAGGGGTTGAAAGGGGAGATGTAAGGTTGTATGAAATTATCGTCATTTTTAAAGCTAGAAGTTTAAAACTTATTTTTTAGGCTGTTGATTGAATTGTATAGAATTCTGTTAAATTACTAAATATTTGCTCATTATTTGGTCAAGGTCACTATTTTACGCGGACGAAGTCGCGGGTACAGCTAGTATTAAATATTTACAGAATAAGCACATTTTTTGTATTTAGTTTTAATCGATAGATAAGAGATAAAGAGTTATAAACTGTTGTCATATGCTATACTATGTTATTATTCTGTAAATTTCCAACAGTGAAATAATTGTCCAAGAACTTCGCAACCATTGTAGGTTCCGAAGTTTCCTTATCTCTTAACAAAATCCACTGTCTTTTTGTAATATAGTATAGATATAATAAAGATGACCGACATATTATAGATTAAGTATATATATTATATATATGTCGAATCAGGAATATCTTGATCTCTGACCGTTCCTCGCGGTAAATTGAGACAACTTTTCAGTTCGTCGACCGGACTCCGTACAGTGGTATCTAGCGGCACTTGCGTTCTATAACAGTTTTATTAGAGAGGGCTGTGCTATATTCGGAAATTGCAACATATATTCCTTTTACTTTATATTATGTATTTCTATCTTTCCAGGTTCACCCTAGTCACAAATGTTGCTACATTTCATTCGGAGGAAAGGAAATTTCATACACTTCCTATGAAGTTCTGTGCAGTTTTACTGGCTAAATAATTATTGTAATACTTACTATAATATAAATATTTAATGTATAATATAATTTACGTTTAATTACGTTTTTTTATATTTCCTTACTTTATAATAAATTAAATAAATTATACTAAAACCGTTGTTATTGTAATTTTAAAGTACCAAACTGTTATACTACACAGAGTTCAAAATATAGAATAGATATATCCTTAGTAGGCATAATACGATAATACGAGTAGTATTACGAGTTATGTATATGTATATAACGTACCAATTAAACAAAATTTAACATATAAAATCAAAGAAAATATTGAAAATATATTGTACTGATGTATAAGGGGTGTGATGTATAACACGTAGATATTATTTTTGATAATGTGGCTACGGCGCAAGTACTGTTTACAAGTTAAATTTACTTAATGCAAGTTACTGTTTACGTACCGTTTTACAAGTACTGAATAGGAATAAAAGCTGATAAGAAAAAATAAACTGACAATAAGTTTAAACAAACAAAAATTCCCTTGATTTATGTTATACATATATTAAAAACAAACCAACTATATATAATATAATCCACGTTGAATTAATCTGTTAGGTGGTCAGTAAATGTATATAACGATAAATAAAGTGACAATGAAAATGAAATTTCCACGTTCCACGAGTAACATTTTTAGCGGCACACGGATCAATAGGGACTTTTGGGATTTTGTTTAGAACCACATAAGGAAGGCCAAAATTCAGCTTTTGCCGACATTTGATACGATAAGAGTTTTAATTGTTTAATATGTTTCTCTGAATGGATGAATCTTCGCCTATATTTATTAAACTAAGCTTCTTAAGCTTTTGCTCCTGCCCATCCATTTACGGGTGAATCAGTTACTTATATATTATGTGGTACGCAGCCTCAGTACTATAATCCGCATAACAGTTAATGTTAACTGTGAATAACAAATCATAGATATGCAGCAGAAACATTGTCGGGGAGAGAACAGAGTTTTGCCGGACGATAGCGTTCATGTCCATGCTATCGAAGCAATTACCATCGACTACAGTTTTGTCGTATTTGCCAGCTAAAAAACTATCGACCCGTTTACAGAATTCCTCTGGTATTTCGTGCTAGAGCAAATTTCGATAGAAGTTTTGTTGCCAAACCCCATAGTCACGGGTCACGCACTATGGGGAAGACGCACCGCAATTGCCCCAATCTATGTTTGGTCCTTTTGTATGGATGTCTTTTCTTTAAATTATAACTTTTATGACGTTCCTACGAGACCTCACCTATTTTTATATTTATATTTTATAGTTCGATTATATTTTTATCTAATCATGAATTATCAACGTAGTCGATAGTCATTCAATAGTTACTAAATATAGAGTAGGCTTATGTAAGTATATACTTTTAATGCAGGGCTATTAGGCATATGAGAGGAGGATGTTCATTGTCCACATTTGTCTCTTCATAGGAAATAACGCAGAATATTATCAGAATTAAGTAGAACTCTATTCTACTAATCTACATAAATTGCAGTAGAGATAAGTATCACAACAGTTGCATACTGTTGGGTATGCTACATTTAATAATAGTTCTGAATTGAACATTATGATTAACACAATATTATTTATTCAACATGTTATATGTTGCACCGCAATGAAGATGGCTCGATCCCTTCTATATCTGGTCGTGTATATAGGGAGTCTCCAGTGTCGGGCATCTTTAAATTATGATTTTTATGAACAATCGTACGATGCGGGACTCCCCCTATTTCTATATTAATATTTCCAATCTGATAATATTTTTATCTAATCATGAATTTTATCAGAGCATAACTTGGGTAGACGTTTAATTTTCTGAAATCATAAATAGCGGACTTATTATTGAAGCCACGTCTTAATATTACGTGATAATTCGTTCAATTATTTTTTTGCAACTATGTCAGGTAAGTATTGTAATATTATTATTTTTTTTTGCTTCAGTTTCATAGTGAAATATTTAAAAGCGATTACAATATAATATACCAATACATACATTCTCGGGGAAATAGATCTTAACTTAACTTAACCTATGACTGTTAAACAAAGTGGTCAGTTGTGTTTATTTACAACGGTCTCTGCACTAAGCATAGCTTGTATCGCAGGGGCCAGGCTATGTTTACCTATTTAGTTGATTTTAGGACAGTCAGTTCTAATACAGCGTCTACATAAAATTTAATATTATAAGGTAATTTATTAATTAAAATAAAGATTAAATGTGTGTGTGTGCGTGTATGCGTGTATGTGTGTATGTGTGTGTCTGTGTGTGCGTTTGGATGTGTTTGTTTATGTCTTTGAAGTTATTTATTTTGTGAGAATGGGGATGCTTAGTTTTGTAACTCAATAATGTTCTCCGTTTGCGAGTAGTTAAGTTTTAGAAGCCAGGTCTCTGCAGTTTCCTTAGCCTGTCTAGTCTAAAGTTAGATCTCTTATATCTATAAAACGACATGTAGTATTATATATTTGTGGAAGAAGCGAAGTAGGGTGACGTTTGGCAAATTTTGTATGTACAAATGGGATAGGGAGCTTATATACCCGTTTCTTTAATAATTGTTCGTAGTTAGTGGATCTGAGGGCATAACTGTGCATACTTAGTACTGCTTTCCGAATGAACAATTGTCGTACACGTAGGACTTTACATTCCTTGTATAATAAATCTGTGCTGTATCGGAATGGTTTTCGTAACATTGTTTTCAGAACTGCTCGTTGAGCCCTTTCTAGTTCCATCATAGAAGTTTTCCCAGCCCCACCCCAGACTCTAATACAATAGGTAAGTTGTGACTGGCAGAGTGCCTTATAAACTAATAACAGTACCTTATTTGGGGCAGAACGTCGAAGTCCTCTCATGATGTAAACGATTTTCCTAATTCTTGCTGAGAGTTTAGATATATGTATTTTATAATTTAGATGTTGGTCAATGATAATACCCAGATACTTTATGTTCTCTGTGCGGGCAATAGTGGTGAAGCAGGAAGAGGAATGCGTGTTATGTGTATGGATTTTAAGGGTTAAAGTAGAAGGAGGTTCTGACGCTTTTGTTTTATGAAAAGCAATATACTTTGTTTTTGCTGTGTTTAACGTGAGTAGGTTTCTCTCTAGCCAGGTACTTATTGTAGTTATTGCTTTTTGAGCGATTTCGTAAACACTTTCCCACGAAGGTCCTTCAAAAACCATAACAGTGTCGTCAGCATAGCAAATGGTATTAGCCCCTTCCAGAGGTATATCTAAGATATCTTTCATGTACACAAGAAATAACGTAGGACCGAGTATGCTTCCTTGGGGCACGCCAAATTCTATAGGACTATCATTACTGACTTCGTTATCAACTCGAACACGTTGTTTTCGGTTTTTTTAATAGCTAGTGAACCATAGCAGAGGTATGCCTCGGACGCCAAGACTTTCTAGTCTACGCAATAAAATTATTGGGGAGACGGTATCGAAAGCCTTGGCTAAATCAAGAAATATACCAACACAAAATTTATTGTTATCTAGAATAGCAGATACTGTTTTCGTCAAAAGCAAAACTGCGTCATCAGTAGATTTGCCGCGTCTGAAACCAAATTGATTCGCTGGGATAAAGTCATTTTGTTCTAGGTATGTAATTAATCTTTTATTTACTATTTTCTCCAGTATCTTAGAATAAGTCGTTAGTAACGAAATCGGTCTATAGTTACAAGGATTACTTTTATCTCCGTCTTTAAAAATAGGTGAGACTATTGCGGTTTTCCATTTCTCAGGGAAAATTCCAGATAAAAGGCTTAAATTAAATATATGGGTAAGTGGTTTTATAAGTACTTCCATATTCTGTTTTATAAGTTTTGGTGTAATTTTGTCCACTCCCGGAGAGCTGTCGGGTTTCAAATTATAGATAATATTTCTTACCTCTTCTTCGTCTGTAGGAATCATGAAGAATGAATGTGAGTTTATAGTTTGATCTTTGATGCATGAAGCTAAAGATTCCTGGGTTTCAGAGAGCGATTCCAAAGTGACTGTAGCCAGAGATTTTCCAACATTCACAAAATAATTATTACAGACGTCCAGTGACTGACTCTCTTGTGTCGTTCTTTAAGTTGGTAAGCTCTGAAGCGGGCTTTACAGCTTTATTTAGGTGGCATATATCTTTTATTGTCTTCCAAAGTTTATTTGGATTGTTTTTATTTGCCTCCAAAGTTTTAGTTTCGTATTCTGTTTTTAAACGATTGAGAAGGTTTGTAAGAAAGTTTCTGTATCTTTTGTAGGTCAATTGAATTATTTCATTTGAAGGGTTTTTCTTTGCTTGGTGATGTAGTTTATCTCTGTTTTTTTGACATTTTAAGAGTCCCGGTGTAATCCAAGGTTTTATAATAAATTTTCTGTGACTAATTTTAATTTCTAAGATATTCCTATTGATTACCGTATTTATGATTTCGTCGAATTTATCTATACCCGAATTTATGTCGTTTGATTTGAGAACAGTAGACCAGTCTTGAGAGCCCAGATCAGTTTTAACAGAATCATACTCTATTTTATACAACGTACGTTTGGTTTGGGGTTTAACACTGCCTATACGCATTCCTAAAATGCATATACTATGATCCGTTCGAACAAATTAAGCCTACAGCTTGTACTGGATTTTTTATATAATAGTGATCCAAACAAGCCATGCCTCTTGTTGGTTTTGTGATAGCTGGAAGCAATTGATGTTCTGTAAGTAGGGAAATATATTCAGAGCATGGATCACTAAGAGGCATGGCGTTTATATCAAGATTTAGATCACCTGTGAGTACTATATTATGTTTAACTTTAACATTCAGTAAGATGAGATCTAGCGAAGATATAAAATTATTTATACTGGTGAAGGAGGGAGAGCGATATATGCCCAATATAACTAAGTCTTTCAGCTTGATTTGTAAACAGTTACAGTCATCGCAGTCTGCATCCTCCACACAGGCATCAATTGAGTATTTAACGTACGCAACTACACCGCCACTTTTGTTTATAAATTTGTGTGATCGGAAAGAGTTGTAGCCTTGTATTTGAGGGATTATTGTATATTCGCTTAACCAGCATTCTGTCAATATTATCACATCCAAATCTGTATTTAGCCGTTGCAGTGTGACCTGAAAGGCATCAAAGTTTTTGTGGAGACTTCTTATATTGAAGGTGAGTGACTTAAAATTAATGCTATTACATAAATAGTTACTACAAAAATCAACGCCATCGAGTACATGACAGTCAATAGAGAGACTTTCTTCCACGTCTCTTACTATGTTATCTATTTTTTATGGTTTTTTCTTTTTTTTTTGTAGTTATAACTGTCACTATCGATAGAAAATTGATCATCAAGACCTGGTTTTCTGGAGGAGTATGTGTAAGTTTTTGTGAGTTTTTTAAAGTTGTTATAGGGAATTTTGTACAATATGGGACTAAAATTAAATGTATTAGTAACAATAAAAATAAGTTAAAAACAAAAATAAGATAGACTAGGAAAATATTTTTTTTTTCGTTTGCCAACATAATCGTATGATGCTTTATTTTTCTGTCGAGCTACCAATTTTCTCATCAATATCTGAAACAGATAAAATTCGAACTGCAGGTTTTCCGTCATTTTTCCTGACAAAAATACCGCCATTACGAGACCAACAATAACGAAAACCATTTTCTCGTGTTCGTAGTCTTGCCTCACGAAATAACTGTCGGTTGTGTTTGGTTAGTCTCTCATTAAAGTATATTTTAGTAGGATTTCCATTTGTAATATTTTCTGATGTCAAATTTTTACGAGATTTTCCAGCTCTTATTAGTTCGTCCCTTTTAGATTTCCGTAACAGCTTCACAACAATTGGACGAGAAAATTTTGATACATCTGTTGCGTTCTTTGCTTTTTTGGTACCCACACGAATTACATCATCGATGTCAGTATCTTCCAGTTTTACACCTATTTTCCGTGCAGTGGTCAATACTAAATGATGAATATTTTCGTTTTCCGTCTCCTCTATGCCGACTATTTCCACTTCATTCTTTACATTGTCTTGCTCTCGTAACGCGAGATGTTGTTCTAAATTACTAACCGTTATTTTAAGGCTGTGAATTTCTAGTTCCGCATTCTGTAGTTTATTTTTATACTCTTTTAGAGTATCTGACAGTTCAGCCGATATAGAAGATACTTGGTTTTTTATTTCGGTATTTTGCTGTTTGACCTCCGTCATTTCCTGTCTGAGCTGACGAAGTTCCGTTATAAGTAATGATTCCTTATTCGTTTCAGTGTCTTCAATTGTGTTTGTGACTTTTTGTTTTGTCACTTGCGACTTGCCACCCCGGGGTGCTGTGTTTACGTTGTTGCAGTTTTTACTGTTAGTGGAAACTGTAGTTTGAGTTGAACGCACTGGAGTTAGCGTGTTGTCTGTTTTTGGCCGCATGCAAACACAAGAAGGACATTGCCATTCGTCTTTGTATGATTTTGACAATTCGTGATACTGTTCTACGGAAAAATTTATACAGCTTAAATCATATACCTTTCTACACCTAGAACAGCATAAAACGTTGTTTTTATCTAAAATTTTGTTATTGCAGCCAGCGCAGGTATTATTCATTTTATTTATTTCTCTGTACTTCGTTGAGTTAGACAAGTGAACTTTGTACCTTTCGAACGGTATGCGGCCGGGCCGTAGCAGCGGCGCGGCGGCGGCAGTGGCGGCAGCGGCGGCTGCGGCGGGTGCGGGTAGATGTAGTGAATCACGGGTTGCACTGGTCGGTGACAAGCGGTTAGGCGACGATGTAATTTAGTAATTTTGAATATTTACTCGTTGATATCTTCTCGAAAAGCACAGTTTAATGTGTAACTGTTATTTTAAATTTATTGTAGTGTTCTATCTAATATATATTAAAGTTGATCTGTTTATTTAACTTAGATTATCAAAAGTATTTTTATAAAATACAGGTTAACAAAATAGACACGTCTGTTTAGAATCGCTGCCCACAGCGCACTGTCAGGCTTAAAATGCTTATTGGAGTAAATTGAATACATATTATACATACCTACTATAATATGTGTATAATATATAGTTCTTAATAGTACTTAGTAAAATTGTGATGATTTAACGTATTTTACACGAACAATAAATTTTAATCAATATATAACTCTGTTCCGGTTTTTTAAGGGATGATAATGGAGTGATGCTCTCGCTAGCGCTAACGATATACGCTCGCGGGGCACCAATAAAGGATGATAATATTATATGAGTACGAGGTCAGGTCAGTTAGCCCATCGTGGTAAATTCACCAGAAATTTAATACGATGGTTTCCAGTGGAAACCGCGTGGAGGTCAACCTGGCTGATAAATTCCTAGTGAATTTGTCACGATGAGCTAACTGACCTGAGCTCGTGTTCATCTTATAATACTCCACTGGTGTCTCGCCAGCGTAAACCGATAGTGCAGGCGGGTGCCCCATTCCATTATCATCCATAAAAAAACCCCAATGCTGACAATGCACTATACATTGCAATAGGGTTATTAAAACACGTTACTCACAATCCTCTTCCCCCCACTCAAGTACAGTAAAGATCACATACTAAGTGTAAGTGTCTGTTAATAAGAGTGAGAGATGAACGACATTATCAAATAGCAGATGAGGGTAGATATTCTTTATAATGTCTGATACGTTAGAAATAAAATTTTAGCCACATCTGGTATTTGTTAAATAATCATTATATTTTTTATTTAGAAAATTACTTATCTGTTATTTTTGAAAAAACCTTTATCTAAAGTATTTTCATCACCTTGATAACCATTCAGTCAACCAATCACTTACAATAATAATATCAATTAGGTAAGTACATGTATAAAAAAAATTAACACTTGTTTATGCAGTTAAATAACATGCCTATTTAATTTTATTAAATGAAGCCATACAGTGACTCTAAATATGTATATTAACTTTATGAAAAAAAAATACGTACTATATACATTATTGTCTTCATGTTAAAGACGTGAACTAAACTGTAAAATTTGTTTATAATAGATAGATACCTACTGATTCTTTAAAGCGTAATTTATTTGACTTATGTGGACTTTTTTCTACTAGTCGTACATCAGTTGCTAAATTTGGTGTAGGCTTACGTAGATACACATTTTTAATGCAGAGCTATAAAATTCATAGGGCAGGAGGATGTGCATTATCCACATTTGTCCCTCAATAGAAAATAACTCAGAAATCTATCAGAACCAAGGAAAATTCTCTTGTAATAACCTATATAAATTTGAGAATAGAGCAGATAAAATATAAATAAATATAGGTAAATGCTATAAATGTCATCAGTTGCGCACTGTTGGGTATGCTACATTTTATAACAGTTCTGAATTGAACATGTATTATGATTAACTCAAATTTATTGACTCAACATATAACCAAACATAATTTAATACAGATTACCTATTAGTTATCTAGTACCTACTCACAACACGTAGTAGCTAGTCTAGATGATGTGTGACTTATACTGGAATATACCTATTCTTAATGTGATGAACACTGTTAGTAACTTGAAAGTAATATAAAATATGATATATACATTAAATTATTTGATATTGGATATTAGGTCAAGCCTAATTACCATTAAGAAACTAGGTCTACTGTCGTTCAATTACAATTCGTTTAACATTTTAATGTATATCCAGAAGCGTAGCGTACCTTGACGGGACGGAAAAGGCACAGATTTCAAACAAAGTAAAAAAAAATATATAAAATTAAAAAAAAATATTTCTGTCACTGTTTCCAAAATTTTAACAAACAATTCAAATTAAATGAATACTGTCCTTGCCTTTTTACTGTTGCTAGATAGCGCTATACCTACTTTACAGACAAAGTGAACCGTTACATACTCTTGATAAATTCAAAATGTATCTGTGCCTAATAATATTATTGGATGCAAATTTCAGGTATTGAATGGATTTCGTCTTCTCCAACCTCATTTCTACATCTTCGAGCGCTAAAGGTGGGCAACTATTGTATAATAAGAGCGCACCATGAGCGAGAATTAGTTCCAGGATCACTAAACAAAATAGAAAAAGTCGCATATATACCCTACGGTGGAAGAGCAGTGCCAGTAAATAATTTTGAGGTATGTACTATTATTTAATTTAAGACCAAAATAAAAATAATATCAATAACAACAGTTATTCTATAATAGTATTAACCCTGCACATATAATAAGTTTCAACCTAACAAAAAGATGTGCGTAAACGTTATATTTTTGAGAAAATTATCAAAAACTTTATGGAGAGTTTTGGATAATTTCCTAACATTTTACAAAATGAGTTAGTTATAAGGTTCGTATAGTAATTTTAGTGCCAAGGAATTTCTATATCTAGATTGAATACCTAATCTTGGACATATTTAGATATATAAATAAATGTCTTCTTAGAATATGTTTTTTACACTTAAAAGGATATTAGTAGATATTTTTAACAACAGATTTTATTTGTGACTAATGCTACTTTCTGTTACAAATAGAAATAGTTTCATAGATTAATTAAAAAAATAATATTTTTTCAGGTGTTATGTGCCAAGGGTAGTGATGTGCGCTGGCTCACATGCAGTGCCGGCAACATACCTCCCGGAGCTATCGCCGCGGGCCGCTCACAAAACGGTGAACAATTATATGTCGGCAGAGCACACCATAGAAATTTAACCATTCCTGGCAAAGTAAGTTGTAGAAAACATGTTACAACTTTTTTATGTGACAAATACAACATGCTTGACATACATGCATGTTATAAAGATATGCATATCACATGCATTGCTAGAGAGGACTAACATACTATACTTCTGTATCATAGAAATGTACAAGAATAAGAAATTGCTTTATAATGACAGATTATGCCTGATTATTCTGTCTTGGAAAATTGAAATCCTTAAATGTTTTTACTGAGCCATACTACTAATAAAACGTGAAACTGTAACCTTTCTATAACTAAACTGCTGAACGGATATTAAAATAAAACATGAAAAACACATAGAAATGACAAATAGAAGCTATACTGCTATTTCAAAATAAAAGACTGACAGCTAGTATGATATAAATATTTAGGTAAATCAGACTAATATTAAATATACGAAAGTATGTGAGAATGAATTTGTTACTCTTCCATAAAAACTGCTAACGGATTCAAATGAAATTTAGTAGGTATATATGTTCTAGATAGGTGGCACTGGCAACTAGTAGTTTTTTTTCGGTTTACTAGAGCGCTTCGTTGGCCTCGGATGGCCTTAACAGTTTCACTAGTGGCTGAAAGCCAACTCCATATCCGTCAGGATATGACTTTAGTCTGAGGACACCGCTAGGGGCTCGAACTTCGGTTAAGACTGTTGTAATTTCAATTCCTGTTTGAACTGGACGAGGGATTGGTCGGAGAGGGCTAGTAGTATGTAAGTGGTGGTGTAGACAACAAAATTTATAATTTTTAAAATGAATAGATAATGTATAAAAATACATGTGTTCATAATTTTATAATAATTTTAAATAATACATCTTTATCCTTGCAGGTACACCCTAGTCACAAATGCTGCTACATTCCTTATTCAGGGGCTGAAGTTCCGTGCCAGACATATGAAGTTCTATGTAAAATGTACGCTTAAACGGACGGACACTCCAAATATATAAAATATTGCTTGCGTGTTGTCGTCTATTCTTCATTCCAAACACTATCCTAAAATTAGATCCAAATGTAAATAATACAACTCATAAAAAATCTTGTAGTATATATGTATATAATACAACAGATTCTATAATAATACATAATATGATTATTCCGAAAAGAACTATCTTAATATAGATACTGAATTCTATGTAAAGAAATTAGTTGATACAAAGCCTATATATACAACTATCGACATTTAAAAAAAAATCCTTTACCTATTCAATTATTATTTAACAACGGTAATTTATATATTACTATTACTATTAATCATGTATTATCATAATATCTATATTATTAGACTTGTAAAAAAGTCGACGTTGGTTTGTGTCTCACCTATTTCAGTTGCTGAACGGTTTGCTTTATAAGCTGCGTTTCGGTTGACGGGTGAATGATGAGACAGTGAAATTACAGGATACGGAAGCATAATATCTTAGTTCTCCGGAATGGCAACGCTCGAGTGTGTTGGTGTTCACATATAGACGCTTACATAAATATAAAATGTAAATAACTGAGTTAAAAAAAGAAATTCAGTTGAAGTTCTTGCCAGTTCTACTAAATAGAATCTGTATATTAAACTGGATGGTAGCGAAATAATTATAATGAAAAAAAAATGACGTGCATAAGCGGCTAAAATGCCCTACTAGAATAATTTTTGAATTGATTTGATTATAAAATCAAAAAATCATTATTTGGTTAATCCTATAATAATTTATCCGTATTATCAATAATAATCCGTAATTAGAATGACAATTGATGGCCTCAGTGGTCTAACGGTTCACACATCAGCACAACACATTGCCTTACTTTCTATCATTGCGGGTTCGATTCCGGGCACGGTACAAATATTTGTATTCATGAGTATGATTGTTTGTGTAGGTCTGCGTGTTCTGTCAGTTGTCTGGTACCCATAACAGCTCTGCTTAGCTTGGGACTACATGGCACTGTGTAAATTTTCCGGCGAAGCAGTGAAGCCGGGCAACGGCACTTTTACAAAGAAGAATGCCAAGATAGAAGATATGCCAAGATATTTAAGTTAACTTTTTGCGCCTTTACGTGAGAAGAAGGTGCAATAAAAAATCGGAGATTCCTGTCTAGTTTTTAATTTACTTGAAAATGGTTTACAGATGTTGCGTATGATAATGCGTATGTGATCGTTAGCGAATTTCGAATATTAAAGGTTAGCGTATCGTCTCTGGCCCGCTGAAATTCGACGTTTCAGTGCTGTAGTATCAAAAATACAATTTGGGCCACACATCAGTACAACCGCGCATGAACACCAACCAACTACACGTTATTACAGATAGTCAACATATAATATCTAAATAAATAATCTAGAACTAGAATATTACTTGTTTTACACTGAATTTCAAACATACAAAAGGTGTGTTTAAGTAGTAGTATTTTCTCTAGAATATTGCTAAGGTATAGGCGTTCTACCGTGATGCCGGCGGAGAAAACTTCTCCAACAATTAGAGAATATATAAGAAAACCATCCCTTGGTTTGCATTGGTTCCCCTGTCCAATTCAAACAGGGTTTCAAATTACGATAGCTTGAGCCGAGGTTCAAATCCTTAGCGGTGTCTTCAGACTAAAGTTGTATCAATAACAACTGTTACATAAGTCCTTCCGCGGGTTTTGAGTGCCATTTGCACTCGATCTCTATTATTCGGTGAAGCTGTAAAAGGCTAGCTGTGGCCAACAGCATTAGAATAGGGCGAAAAAAAATGCAAGCAGTAAATGGATATAATTTTACCAAATTATCGCATTTGAAATACAAATCTAGCATAGCATCAGGAGTCAGGAGCATCTTACTCCGTCATTGTAGGCGGACATTTAGGATAACAATGAACATATCAAATAATAGATAGTAGAAATATAAATTAGATTTTACTTGATAGTTATCAATAATACTATTATAAAACTAAAATAACTGAACGCGTATAGTTTTTAAACAGATGTTGCCTCTACCGCTCCTCGCAGTGAATTGAGACAACTTTTCTGTTCATTACGCGGACTCCATACAGTGCCATCTAGCTGTCATAACCGGAAATTGCGACAGATATGTATTTATTGATTTTTATACATATGCAAAATATACAATGACTATAGAACCATTCAGAAAATTTGAAGTTTAAGCTTTTAAGATTGGTACATAATTTATTATCGTCCAACTTCAATCGCTGCCTATTTTCAATTATTGCGCTATTTTAATAATATTTCCTTGGTACGATATCATATCTAATCATACACTATCGTGACGTAGAATGTACCAACGATATGAATTTGTTACAGACAAATTGCTGAAGCTACATAGACAGATTCAGTGTTAAACAGTAATATTTTGTTTAATTCTATTCAAAAAGTGTATAAATCACAACCATGTCATGTAAGTATAATGATATATACAGTTATTATAATAAAATATAGCTAGAATTGTATAATGAATACAAAAATTGCGACGCAAAATGATTAGATAAATTGGATATTACAGGATAGTAATAACACCTATAGCTGTTATGATAACTTAAAAAAAAACATTTTGCATTTTTATTTTAAAAATGCAAAATGTTTTTTTTAGTTCAGAAAAGGAAAAGACTGTCTTATGTCTTATGTCCTATCTCACTAAAGGATCAGATATATTGATCATACTAATCTAAAAGACCTACTATAAATTGATTTATTGTCATTATTTTGAGTTCCGTACTTATATGTATATGCACTGTCCTATTTATTTCTCCCGTATATTTTTTATTAATATTACATGTTGATATTAAATATAATATTTTTTTTATCATATTTCTATAAACTGGTAGTAACAATAAATCTATATCGCTTCTTGAACAATTTTTTCATTTACTAAACAATGATTATTGACCATACTACTTAAGACCTTAAGGGTGGACTTGGTAATAGATGTTTGTAATAAAGAATAATTACTTTAATTTTAAAAATAATAATTATTTTTAAAATTAAAGTAATTAATCTTAATACAGAATATTATATATCAAATTAATCTTCTTTAATTAATTTGGTATATAATATTTTCTACTAAAAAATAATATTTAGTCACATGAGGAAATTGAAAGTACCTATCTATTTTTTTTTATGTATCTGGAATGGCAAACCGTATTCTCACCCTTCAATCGAATCAAACTTTGACACCATGCTTTGTAGACTTGGCGGCTGAAATAGTCGAAACAAATGTGCTCACACATGCGATTGTTTTGTACAGCCTAAGATTATACTGTATAAACAGATACAATTTTCAAATTTTCAGACCCACCGCCATCAGGTCCCCCGCCTCCATATAGCCCGTATACTGGTCAACCAGCATACACTACTTACGCTTACGCTCCCACACCGGTTTACATGCCCGTGTATCCACCTCATGTGGCTGCCGTGCCTCAACCTCAGCAACCACCGAACTCCACATACGTCACAAATGTTTATCAGCAACCCACACCGGAACCAGTTCGGGTCGTCGAACATACTGGAAGTGAGTACCTAAACGTGGATGCTTAGCAGAAAAATGTAATTAATTTATTTATTATTGTATACGTTCTAATGTGTTGAAAATGTTAATTTGAGCAGATGTGTGATATTTTACACTCAACTCTAAACTCGATTCTATGAAGCAAAACATTTGTATTCATGAGTATGGTGTTTATATCGATCTGGATGTTTTTTATGTATGTTTTCTTATATTGACAAAAAAATGTTTAATTATTTTCAAAAGTTCTCAAGTAAACATGACAGCTTATCTTAGGGCTAGACGGTATTCTGTGAATTATGCTGGTTTAGTTTTGTTTTATTATTAACTCTAGGGGACGGAATCTGATTTCATTGCATTTAAATATGCAATTAACACATGAAAAGTGTGGTTGTAAATATAGAATTTCCCTATTTAGATGGAGAAGAAAAGGAATATTCACAGTTCAAAACCAGGTTCAATAAAGAACAAAGATAGTTTGCCAAGGCAAAGTTTGTATGTAGTATTTAAGATTTCAGGTATCTGTAAATACCATATATAATATTGCACACAAAGTATCACCAGTCAGTCAGTAATAATGAATAGCAATAAATCAGTAATAATAAAAATGATTGTAAATTTCAGGTATTGAATGGATTCCGGCTTCGACGACGTCATTTCAACATCTTCGAGCGCTAGAGGTGGGCAGATATTGGATCATTAGAGCACACCATGACCGAGAATTAATTCCAGGAAAACTACACCCTGGAAATAAAGCAGCGAATGTACCTTACGGTGGAAGAGAAGTGCCAGTATATAATTTTGAGGTAAATAATAAAATTAAATATTACAAAATCAATTGCACTAATAATTCTGTAATAATGACCCTGGACATATACAAATCTCAAATGATTTATACGGTTTGGTTTTCTAGTAATATTTTGTGTACTTACACCAAGAATTTGCAATCATGTCAATCTTGTGCAAAAAATAGATGCCAATCTAATTTTTTGCTAGAAGGTACATATTACTTAAAATATAAATATCGTTTTAAGAAAATATTTTTCAATTTTAAGTATTACGAATAAATTATATTTTTGATGATTGCGGGTTCGATTGCTCACATGATACTAACATTTGTATATATATTATATTTGTATATAATATGTTGTTTGTATTAGTCTGGGTGTTTTTATATATATTATTTAAGTACTTCTGTCTGCTATTTTTCATGTATATTTGTTGTAGAAATATGTAGTAAAACTATTTATGACTGGATAAATGTATTTAATGGTATGATGGTAGAGAGTGAAGTGACATAATATAATTTTGTTTTTATAATTTTGATTAGAGAATACAAGAAATCTTTAAATATATCAAAAGGGTTTCTCAACAATATTATTAATCGGATTCCTCGCTGTGTAAGTTCTCATTGTACTTTGTTGTATTTTTTATTTTAGTTTAGATTTAAATACATATAACTGGCCTCAACGTTTAAAGGACGATTTTGCAGCCAATTTTGAAGATAATTTTGAATAATTAATACGTTATAATGTTTTCATATTATTGTTTAAACTAACACACATTACAGTAATAAATGTTATAACATGCAATAGAAAAAATAACGATTTATCCTTGTAACAATATTTATGGCAAATCTCAGTATAATGTACCTGTATTTTTTATGAAAATAACAAACTCAGGATCCAAACCACGAGCAACAGAAAGTAAGGTAGCACGTGAAACTAATATTATTATTGGTATTGGCAGATCAGTTGGAATCATCGGTATTCTAGTTGTATGAGCTAGTTGCCCAGCTGCCGTGGCCCGTGCCGGTGGTAATGATCGCTACAATTAAATTGTTCTTTAATTCCTTAGTAAGCAGCCTCATCCTATTGCACAATGCACATGTTCCATGGGCTTAAATTTCTCAAAATCATGATTGGATCATGCTTTTGAGAAAATCCGATTTTTGACGTTAAATCGTATGGTAGCAGTCCAGAAGGGTTTAGTAAAAAATCCTGTCGATAATGAACTGTGTCTTCGATATTTGTTACGCAGTCAATAGATTTGTAAGTTTTTATTTGTCCGGGAACTTTTGGAATAATTAGATTATTTCGTCTTAGGTAACACCCTAATAATGAAAGCCTTTTTCGTGCAAATTGCAAGTCAGGGTAGCATCTAGCAAAATTCCTAATTTATGGACGATTTGACCTAGAGACTCATCCAGAAATATATCAAAATTTCTGTTTAAATTTGGAGTGGGAAAAATGCCTTCCCCAAGTTTAAGCAGTTGATGTGGGAAATCATTATATGTGGTTTCATGAAGATAAGCTCTCATATTCGTACGTAATTTTAAACTTTCAATTAAAGTCCATAAGGGAGACGATGTTAATGACAGAGTCTGTCAGAAATCTCCGGCAAATACAAAAATAATCCCGCCCATAAGAGTAAAGGTGTTTCTAAGATCTTTAAAGATTATATCCAAAGCCTCTATGGCTGATGGTGCATTCATTCCACATAATCAATGAGGCGTCTTGTAATAATTTATTAAAGGCCCTATTTTCTGGATATGTATACAAATAACATGTAGATTGTTGCTCCATCCTTTCCATCTAGTTTTTCCATCCTTTAAGAGTTGCAATTCCTGACGATGCAACTGCTATCGCTATCTTCCCTGATTGTATTATCTTAGCAAGTATCCCCCACCGTACCCTACATCGCATGTGGTTTATAGTTAACAGAGCAGGTTATTTTTACTAATACTTACGTTATTAAATACGTGATATCTTTCGAATGGAAAGTCCGAATTGAATAATTCAAAAAGTTATATACAAGTATTGAAGCAGTCGTTGAATTTATTTTGATAAGGATTAATATACATAGATACAAAATACAGAGCGTGTTTTCTAGCGGCGACACTTCAATTAAATTTATAAACAAAAAAAACACTTATTGTGACGTAACTATAATAGATAGACACATGCCGTCGTGATACTTTTTATAGATAATGATGTGCTCTGCAAAGTTGTAGTACATCATTTTGTTCTATCATCAATAGTTTTCGCAGCGCACGCGGTGCGGTATTTTTTGTGTAATTTTTTACACCTTGGGTTACATTATTGGAGGTTTCGTAAGGATCCCTAATTTTTTTTTGGAAATATATGGCCTATGACACTCAGGGATAGTGTAGCTACCTAATGGTGAAAGAATTTTTCAAATCGGTCCAGTAGTGTCGGAGCCTATTCAATACAAACAAACTTATCGTTTTTACAATATTAGTATGAAGTATGATAAATTTTAGAAGGATTCATTTGAATATTAATATTATTTCAGGTGTTGTGTGCTAAAGTTAGTGATGTGCGCTGGCTGCCATGCAGCGGCGGCAAAGTACCTCCCGGAGCTATCGCCGCGGGCCACTCACAAAACGGCGAACAACTATATGTCGCCAAAGCAAACCATAGACTCAATGTCATCCCTGGCAAAGTAAGTTGAACAAAATATATCACAGTTATTCTCACACAGGTTACAGATTATTCACAGTTAATAATGTTACGTAAAACTTAGAATTTAAATAAATTAAGGCTAAAATATATCAAACTAAAATTATTGTTATTATTTTCTTGCAGGTACATCCTAGTCACAAATGCTGCTACATTTCTTACATGGGATCGGAAATTGCCTGTCAATCATATGAAGTTTTATGTAAAATGTATGACTAACTGACGGACACGGCCCAAAATCATGTTTCTTTGATTTGCGTTTTTGGTTATACCTGTACACATATATACCTGTATCATCTATTCTTTTTAAATATACTTTCATTTCAAGTGATTAATTATAAAATGTATTTGAAAGATAAATTTCTTCTAATATGTATACAAACATAAATATCAAAATGAACATGGTTGTTTTTTTAAATAGTTACCTAATATTTTTTATGGTTATTGTTTCTGTGTAATATTGGTTTTCCTTATAAAAAAATATATATCTGTAATGTCTGTACCCTATTGCACTAGCTGTGGTCACGAGCTGTCTTAACAATATAAAGAATGTATATTAAACACCAAACTTTAAAAATATATTTTGTTTCAAATACTGAAATTGAAAAAGTATTATCTATTTATGTATATTTATTGTATAGATCATACCAAACATTCCTTTGGGTGTCTCGAGGTCTCTGTTTAAGGTTATTAATATTATGTTTAATGTCCTAGGTATTTTATTGAACACGTGTTGACATAAGTCAACGAAATCAGTCACACAATGAACAACCGCAATGTAAACTGATGACAGTTATTATACTTTACTTTTGTATTTATATATATATAAATAAATAAACATTTAAATGAGTGCAAACAACTCATGTCATGCTCTTGAAGAGTTTGGTACGCTGAGCACACACTCTATCATAGGATGTGCTGCACTGTTTTAAACCTCGACATCAGCAAGATCGACTACAATCCTATCATTATCATTAGAAGAACTCTATAAAATTTAAATAACTCAAGCGGATGTAGACAAAAAAGTTAATAAAAGTATTTTTTTTTCATGATTCGAACAAAGAGGACGAATTAATTTTTGAAATGTGTTTTTCCTTCAATGTTTAATTAAAATAAAAATATATTTTAAAATTAATTTTAATATTTTAAATTTCAACAAACGCAGCATTTCAAAATCTAAACACATATTCGACCAAATTATTAGTTATTATATACTTATATAAAACTCAATTGAAATAATATTAAATGTTATTTTAATTATAGAAAATCATTAGGATCGATTATAAAGGTGTACTTGGATTTTTCTAACAGGTATTTATTTCAATCTTAAAAAATAAATATAAAACATAAAGTTATAGCTAATTTCGATCATTGAGTGACCACTGACTAGTTAGGAGGATTGCGCTACGATAAAGCCGTTTTCTTTACGAAGATAACATATCTAATCGTAAATTATAGTGATGTAGAGCATACCAACGATATGCATCATGAAATCATGAAATAAATTTGTTACAAACAATTCACTACAGCTACATTCACATATTCCGTGTTAAAAAGCAATACTTTGTTCAGTTTATTTTAAAAGTTGAAAATCACAGTCATGTCATGTAAGTACAAAATACATTATAATAAAATGTAGCTATGTTTACTTTTTCTCACATAACATAGAATGCAATAGATAAGAAAAATAAAACAGCAACGCTGCATAAAACTAGTATAAGAGATACAAGTTGTTTAGCTTCACCATCAGCTTGTAGTATTATATATATCTGTTGTAATTAGTGGTAGATTCAGGCGTTTAAATGGCTGCTTAAGTAAAAAATATCTACTTAATCTTTGGAAAATTTAGAGCATTAAGATGGGGGGTCTCTCCTCAGAGCCTCCCAGCTGCTTCCATAAAAAGACTTGACCTCCACGGGGTGCTGTATGTACTTCTATGATCCAAAACTATACCATATAGCACGCAACTGAATAAATTGTAATTACTATCACTGCCAGCTGATGAATTATGAATCGCAGCTGACAAAGCAATAAGTGAGACAAAGGTATTTGGACATAGGTTTTCGTTTTAGTGCGAAAAAGGGTTGTAAGGGGTTGAAAGGTTGTATGAAAGTGTCGTCATTTTTTAAGTAGAAGGATGAAACTTTTTGGTTTATAATCTATCTAGATACATTTCCTTTATTTGATTAAGCTCATTATTCCACGCGTATGATTTACGAGCACAGCTAATTATACATAAATTCTAAATTTCCAGACCCACCACCATCAGGGCCTCCCAACCATTATGCCCCATATCCTGGTCAACAACCAGCGTCCAGTACATATTATGCGAATCCAGGCTCTGTCACTTATGTACCGACACCGGTATTAATGCCCGTGTATCCACCTCAAGTGGCTGTCGTGCCTCAACCTCAGCAGCCACCAAACTCCACATACGTCACAAACATTTACCAGCAACCCCCACCGGAACCAGTTCGGGTTGTCGAACATGCTGAAGGTGAGTTGCAAAATACTATAAATTTGCTCGGATTAACAGTATATGAGTGTGTTATTTACAATATTAATAATTCCTATAGTAAAATGTATTACAATAATACACAGAAGAAAGTAAAGTGCTAAAAGAACGATTTTTAGACGTATATTTAGGTAAGCAATATACAAGTAAGTTAAGGCACCGACAGTTTCTCCCTACAAATTTTCAAGGAGGTGAAGCAGGTATACATGTGCTGAATAGAGCGAGGGGGTACTTCACTGCGGACCAGAGACTTCTCTTGTATAAGTCGCAGGTTCGGCCGCACATGGAGGCCGCACAAGGAATTCATCCCCCCACGCTGTAACCTAAGTGGTCTCGGACAGTGCGGTTTCAGAGGAGCTTTCTTCCGCGTACACTTAGATTGTGGAATGAACTACCTGTCTAGGTTTTCTCGAGAGACTACAGCATGGGGTTTTTCAAGAAGGGTATATTAAGATTTCTTAAGGGTCGGCAACGCGCATGTGACACCCCTGGTGTTTCAGGCGTCCATAGGCTACGGTAACCGTTTACCATCAGATGGCTCGTATGCTTGTTTGTCACCTACGTGGTATAAAAAAAATACATATTTCAGAAGGAATTATAGATATGCCAGTAATCCTATTAATGTTGTTTATGCTTAAGTTTGTAGTGTCTTTGTATAAAATTCCGTTTCGTATTACAATAAATATATCTTATTTCTAACATTTTATTTAAAATCATGATATATTATGTACTTTGTTGACTTTTTATTCGTCTTTATATTTTTATATCAATTTTACAGTGAAATAGTTGTACCCTAGTGAAGTAGTATTATTATTAGTAATGAGAACTAGTGGCCTCATTGGTACTTATTTCTTGGCAGTATTTGTGGCTTTATAATAAGGTAGACATTATTATAGTACAGAGGCATTACACTTTAGTTCTCAGGAATGATAACACACGTGTCTATGAAGTTTCTATGTTTAAAGAAATGTACACAATAAATCTGTATTTAATAATAATATTGATTGTAAATTTCAGATATAGAATGGGTTTCGGCTTCGACGACCTCTTTTCAACATCTTCGAGGAAGAGCACTACAGATGGACACGAGCAAGTATTGGATAATTAGGGCACATCATGAACGAGCTTTAATTCCAGGAAAACTGCACCGTACAATGGAAACCGCAAATATACCCTACGGTGGAAGAGATGTGTCAGTACATAATTTTGAGGTAAATTAATTTGTAATCAAAAATAAATGATACTAGAATAATCCTGGACATTTCATAAAAATCTCTATATATAACAAAATCGTGACGAGGCAAAAATTGTGTCGATTACTGACAAATGTTTGTTTCTGTGTTTTTCTGTGTCGCGAATGTCGTTATGGAAAACATATGATGTCACGTAAAAACGACTGGAAGAAATATGGAATTTTCACATACATTCAAACCTAATATGTGTGAGCCTACCTACTTAATGATTTGTGTCTGGCTACAAACAGATTAGTCTGTAGCTAATTAACTTGAAGACTACTTGATTTTTGAGTTTGTAGTAGTATGTAATACTGTCTGTATTATATACTACGACAAACTCAAGTCTCTAGAACCGGAATAATACTTTTCAAGATTCCTAACTCATGCGGACCGTGCGCTATATTATAATACACACACTTAAACTTTTTTTATATGTAATAATAAAGTATACGTAAATCAACTACGTATACTTTATTATTACATATAAAAAAAGGCGCTGTCGCTGTCTGTCCCTATGTATGCTAAAATCTTTAAAACTGCGCAACGCATTTTGAAGCGGGTTTTTTAATAGACAGAGTGATTAAAGAGGAAGGTTTATATATATAATACATGTTCACCCGTGCGAAGAGTCATATATAAATTAATATTATTTCAGGTATTGTGTGCTAAGCCTAGTGCTGTGCGCTGGCTCAACAGTAGTCACGGCATGGTACCACCCGGTGCTATCGCCGCAGGCTACACAGAGAGTGGTGAAGCACTTTATGTCGCCAAAGCAAACCATGTTAAATCAAACCATGGAAGATCTCTTTTCTCACAGATAGGAAACCATATCCTCGACATACCTATACGCAGTATCCCTGGTAAAGTAAGTTATAGAAAATATATATCAGTATGAGAAAAATGAATTAAAATGCAAGTATCATGCACAAATAAACAATTGGACGGATATATTTAAATCAAATTTGTGCATTGAGTGATCCTCCTCTAAATTAACACATACTATTTAACCTAATTCTCGTTGGCATTCGCCCGGGATACAGCTAGTAGATAATAAAAACTAATAAGTAGTTATTTTAAAGTCTTTTCAACGATACTTAAATTGTTTTTGTTTTTACAGGTCCATCCTAGTCACAAATGCTGCTACATTTCTTTCTTAGGGATGGAGATTTCGTACCAGTCATATGAAGTCCTATGTAAAATGTATGATTAATCTTGTAGACACGTTCAAATCTGTTACTTTGGCTGAGTATTATCGTCTATTCTTCATTCCAAATAATATTCTTACTTAATTTTAAAAATAAATTATAAATAATATAGCTTCTGTTACATTTCCTGTAATATTTGTACATATGAAAAGAAATTTTATATTTAGGTTGTTTTATTAAACATTAAATAATAAAGTTTATTATAGCAATTATAGCAATTACTGCAACTCCTACCACTCCTTAGTAAGCTCCGAACTTGCAAAGCTTCGATTAATTTGAATGAAATACAAGATTCAATTTCTAGGTAATATAAACTACAAAAATTCGCTTAAGAATAACTTTTTCGTGAAAGTTAAACAGATACCACGACAAAGATATTCTTTATATACCTATATAGATAAATTGCTTTATATCGGAAAGCGCTTCTCTCTTTGATAGTATTGGTAATATTATTGGTAGTAATATAGTTAAGAATATGTCTGTTTGTCCATAAAAATGTTGTTTAGATTAGGATTTCTTTAGGAGCTGAGACTGTCATCAATCAATGGCATCATCAATCGCCGTAGATGAAAAGAGATAGGCATCGGTGATTTTCTTAACCTTGCCAAGTCTGATATATTTCTTTTACCTATATTCCTTAAAGACTAAAGTCCTTAAAAGTTGAACTAAATAGCTTGCTTTTAAATTGGTTTTAGGGTTATTTGTCGTGTAGAAATCAATGGATGAACATGTACATGAATTTAACTGTGACTGTACAATGTAGTGTAGTACAAACTTACTGTTAAATCAAGGTAAAAATGTCAACTCACATCGATTATATAGTTCTTGGGAGCTCAGAACAATAAAAACTAAAGTCTTTACAATATTTACGCATCATCGTGGTCATACCTACTGTTAAAACTACTGGTAAAAATGTCAAACAACTACAATGCAACTGATGAAATAGGAAACTTCCCTATAATTCCTATCAGTCTGGCGCTACTTCGCTATCGTACCAACATACACGCGCTTTTCTGGGAGAAAGCGGATTATTAGGGAAATGGACTGATGTCCCTATTGCTGGCTATGTACCTTGCGCGGTGGACCATCTCGCGGTTGTCCCTAGAAAACATCATGGTAACTGTTGCCGAAGGTAATCTTTTTGATAGTCATTTTATATATTTTTGAATTGTATATTTTGACGTTCTGTTTTTATATACCGATTGTTTTCTAATGCCATTATCCTTGTCTTTATGTTTTTGCTACCGAACTGAATATAGGTACATATTTTACCTCAATTAGGAACGTGTTTCATTTTAAATTAGCCTTAATACAGTCCTTTTGTCACAGTAACTCTGTCACTATAGACTTACTGACCTGACTTCATCCTCATCTTATGGCCGTTCACTTGTGCCCCGCCAGGTTATACCAACTACCAATAGCGCACGAAGGAACACCATACTATTATCATCCTTTAAAAAGTATTAAAACCTGCCCGACGCTCCACAAAGGCAAATATCTTAAGCGATTATTATTTATAATACGTATAGATACTCTCATTTCAATGATAGATAATTGCTTTAAAAATATTAAACATGGAATGAATATATTTTTTTTATGTCATTGAAATGGCGACAAACTGACGGGTCTCCAGATGGTAATGGCTGCAATTGTTGGGACTATTTTTGGTCAATGGTTGGATTATTGCGCTAGGACAAAACCATATTTATTTGGCGATATCATATCTAATCATAAATTATAGTGGCTTACAATCTACGCCACTAGAACGATATGCATCATGAAACAAATTTGTTAGTCACATATATAGATAGATTTTGTGTTAAAAGGTTCTATTCAATTTATAAAAGGTAATAAAAAGATATCAAATAAAAAGAAATACTGAATGTAAATCAGAGACATGTCATGTAAGTACAACCGACTATTAATATAAATTACTTTACGTAAAAATACATAAAACTTGTTTATCAACGCTATTACGTTTATGTCTGCTGTGATTAGTAGGAGGTTTGGTCGTTTAAATTGTTAGAATGTGTAGTACGAGTGTCTTTGCAAATTTTTGTGGTACTTATATTAAATTTACACAAAATTACATATATTAAAAAGTAATACAACTGTGTCACTAAGTATAATTAACACAAATAAATAGGTTATAGTAACAAATTCATTGTTTGTAGATAAATAATATTTAATATATTATGAACAACAGTGTACAATATAGAGCGATATTAATAACGTAAAATGTATAGTTAGGTGCAGCATTATTCAATTCAATCTTCTTACTTTAAAAATGACAGTATATCCGTACAACATTTCATGTCCCCTTTCAAACCACTTTTTAGCAATAAAAAGACTAAGTCGTTTATATGGTCTAGACTATCTGTATACCAAATTTCATTTAAATCAGTTCTTCGGATTATACTAGTACACTCGTACTAGATTTTAAAATTGGCAGGTAAGTCTTTGGGTTTTGTATTTATAAGTATTTAATTAATTAAATCATGCAGACCAAGTATATGCTTTTATTATTATTATAATTTTTTTCAATAAACAGAGAGGATTATTAGCATATATTAATAGGACAAATATAAAGAGTCATCTAGATAAATCTATCGATTTATTAAATACTACATATGTTAGTATACTGTAAAACTGTATTTTTTTATATGATTTTATTGCTTAAATAAAAATTTTGCTAGATCTTGTCTCATCGGTTCCATAATTTATGTGCATCTACTTGGAGTTTTTCATTATACCTTGCTATTCCGGACGACTAGAGTGTCATGCCTCCCTTACATGTTATTTCACAGTATCATCACCTTGTAACTACACCTTATAAATAAACCAGTATGGTTACTGAAATGAGTCAGGAAGATGCCTATGCAAATAATCTTGTACAAGGTTATAAAAATAAAAATCTTTTTTTAAATCCAGACCCACCATCATCAGGGCCTCCCCCCTACTACACACCATATCCTGTTCAACAACATGCGTCCAGTACATATTATGCGAACCCAGGCTCCGTCACTTATGTACCGACCCCGGTTTACATGCCCGTGTATCCACCTCAAGTGACTGCCGTGCCTCAGCCTCACCAGCCACCAAACTCCACATACGTCACAAACATTTACCAGCAACCCACGCCGGAACCAGTTCGGGTTGTCGAACATGCCGAAGGTAAGTTGCAGAATACTCGAAATCTACTTAAATAAACAATTTGAACATATTTCAGCGTGTTATTTATTACAATATTAATATTAAGATATTAGAGCAATTCAATATCACGTTAGACATTTTGTAAAATTCGAACATACCTAACTTATTTTTTAAATACATTCTATATTCCTATAGTAAAATGTATTACAACGTTAGAATAACGTATATATGTTTATAACGTATATATGTTACCTAGATACGTAGATATGTTTTTGATATATTTTTAAGTAGGCAATGACTCAATTAAAAATAAAGTCGCTGTCAGTCTCACCCTACGTATTTTCAAGGATGGTCAGTAATTTGAATGCTTAAACTTGTGAAGAGCCTATATATAAGAGTCTGTTTCATATTATTATTACAATACCTATATCTATTTAGTATTTCTAACATTTTATTTAAAATCATGACACACTGCTTATTTGTTTGACTTATTAATCTTTATATTTTTATAGCAATTTTACAATGATATGTTTGTGTAATATAGAGTACATATATATAATAATAGATAAGTGGGGGGTGGCCGGTACTTTTAAGACAAGTATTGTGTAAATAGACCGGAACATACGTTTAACGGATATATATTAATACAAATTCAAATTCAATTCATAATGTCTTTATTCATGTAGGTCTATTACAAACTCTTATGATATGTCAAATCTACCGTCAGTTCGGAATGATTTCATAGTGAAGTAGTATTAGAATACAGAACAGTTTGTGTCATAGTGAAGTACTATTGTTACTAACTAACTATAGACTAGGGTAACTAGGGGCCCCATTAGTACTTGTTTCTGGCCAGTGCTTATGGCTTTACAATAAGGTAGAGATATTATTATAGTACAGAGGCACTACACCTTAGTTCTTAAGAATTAATACATGAGGAATGACACGCAGCTTGCAATGCTTATATATAACGTGATGTACCCAATTAATCTGTATCTAATAATAATATCGATTGGAAATTTCAGATATTGAGTGGGTTTCCGCTTCGACGACCTCATTTGAACATCTTCGAGGAAAAGCGCTAGAGGTGGATACGAAAAGGTATTGGATAGTAAGAGCACATCATGAGCGAGAATTAATCCCAGGAAAACTACTCCCTCAAATAAAAAGTGCAAATATACCCTACGGTGGAAGAGAAGTGTCAGTACATAATTTTGAGGTAACTGAATATATAATTAAAAATAAATGATACTAGAATAATCCTGTACATGTCATAGAAATATTTACATATAATAAAATAGTGTCATGGTGAAAACTGTGTCGTTTGATAATAAATGTCTGTTTGAATATTTTTTTATTATCAAGTACAACTGTGTACTCGATAATGTGGAGCTAAAGTTATGTGGCAAATGGAATACATAGTAGAGAACATGTTATATCACGTAAAAGCGACAGGAAGAATGAGGATGGAATTTTCGCATAGTATGTAAATAAATATGAGTCAACATACAGGGTTTTTTGCATTTAGCAAAAGCTGAATAAAAATAGCTACCTACAGTGGTAAATTAATTGAATTAATTAATATTTTATACAATACGCATATTAATTAGTTTATTAATAAAATAATAGATGGCTACTGGTCTAAACATGTACACGCGCAGGAATTAGTGGGCACATCTAAACTAAAATAAATATCACAAAATTTTCGCCACAGACAAACCAATACACACCTACTATTTTTGTATTTGTACGACAGGTTTGTGGTTACACATAATCGGTTCAGTTGGAAGATCGACCTATGCATACGAATCGGATATGTGTGACTGTACCTACTTAGTAATTTGTGGCTGATGTTACTTTCTATTACAAATTACTACATACAAAGACAATTAACTTAAAGAAATTTTTGTGTTTGTAGTAGTATACATACTTATAATACAGACAGTCACTAAAACCGGTATATACCAAGTTAGGATCGCCAGCTCGTGCATCGTGCACTATATAATTACACACATTTAAACACAGAAGGTTAATTTACATGTATTTTATTAATAAATTAATATTATTTCAGGTATTATGCGCTAAAACTGGTGCTGTGCGCTGGCTCTCAAGTAGTGGCGGCAAGGTACCACCCGGTGCTATCGCCGCAGGGTACACAGAGAGTGGCGAACCACTTTATGTCGCCAAAGCAGACCATAAAAAACCTGTAACCGGTGCAATGAATGGAAGATGTAGAGCAAACAGAGTAAAGCAAAACCGCATCATACCCGTCCCCGGTAAAGTAAGTTGTAGAAAATATACATGTTAGTAGATTTATTTATGTCAGTATGAGAATAATACTTATTATTAAAATACAAGCACCATAAATAAAATGACAACCGGACATATAAGAATGAAATTCTGTGTACAGACAGATCATATTTTAAATTACATACATATACTTTTTACCCTAATTTGCGTTGGCATTCGCTCCAGGATACAGCTAGTAGATAATAAAAACTAATTATTCATCTGTAAAATGTGCAGATGGTGAATAAAATTTGTTACTATAAATTTTTTTGAACAATACTTTAGTATATTTGTTTTTACAGGTCCACCCTAGTCACAAATGCTGTTACATTTCTTTCTCTGGGGCGGAGATTTCGTACCAATCATATGAAGTTCTATGTAAAATGTATGATTAATATTATAAACATAGTCCAAATCATTACTATGGATGTGTATTATATTATCGTCTAATCTAAATTATAAATAATGTAGCCCATGTTACATTTCTTGTAATACATATTTGTACATACGAAAAAATAAATTGTATATTTAGGTTTTATTAAATGTTAAATAATAAAGTCTCTCTTAATTATTATAACTCCTACCACTCTTTAATAGGCTCCGAACTTACAAAGGTTGATTGATTTGAATGAAACACAAGATTCAATTACCAGTAATGTATATACAAATTTGCTTAAGAATATCTTTTTCATGGCACCTAAATAGATTCCATGACAAATATATTCTTATGAAATGCTTTCTATTAAAAATCTCTTAAATCGGGAAGCACTTCTACCTTTGATGGTCTTGTTAATAGCACAGATAACATAATATAATATTATTCTTAAGAATATCGTTCAATTATAGTTAAACAGTTAACCTCGTATTATCCTTATCCTTACTTCCTCACTAATATTATAAATGCGAAAGTAACTCTGTCTGTCTGTCTGTCTGTCTTGCTTTCACGCCAAAACTACTGAACCGATTTAAATGAAATTTGGTACACAGATAGTCTTGACCCTGAGAAAGAACATAGGCTACTTTTTAATGCGAAAAAAAGGGTTGTAAGGGGTTTAAATTGGGGATGAAAGATTGTATGGAAGAATCGTCATTTTTGAAGCTAGAAGCTTGAAACTTATTTTTGAGGCTGCTAATTAAATATAAATAAATATGACATACAAAGTTTTTAAAAATGTTACCCTTAAGGGGGTTAACTAAATTAGAGGATATTTTTTTTTTATTATTGAAGATAGAAGATTGAAACTTATTTTAGAGTTGGCTGGCTGAAGAGGCTGTTGATTAAATATAAATAAATATGACATTCAAAGTTTGTAAAAAATTACCCTTAAGGGGGTAAAATAAATTAGGGGATGAAAGATATTAGGTAATATCGTCATTTTTGAAGCCAGATCTATTAAACTTTTTTCATTGGCTTTTTGAGTTAGTTTATTAAATACCTTACTAATATTATAATTGTAAAAGTAATTCTGTCTGTGTTATTTTGGCGTGTAAGTGAGACTGGCATCTCACTTACACGCCAAAATAACTGAATAGATTTTTGTGAAATTTGGTACACAATTAGTCTTGATCTTGAGAAAGCATATAGGATACCTTTGGATCCGAATAATTGGTTGAAATAGTAGTAGGAGTTGTAATGGTAGGTGCATGGTTGTACGTAAGAATCATCATTTTTAAAGGTAGAAGCTTCAAACTTATATTTTAGGCTGGTAACTGAATATAAATAAATTTAATATTCAAAGTTTTTAAAACTTTAACCCTTAAGGGGGTAACATAAAGTAGGGGTTGAAAGATTTTAGGTAAATTCGTCATTTTTAAAGCCAGATCTATGAAACTTTTTCCATTGGCTTTTTTGGGTTAGTTTATAGAATACCCCACTATTATTATAACTGTGAAAGTAACTTTATCTGTCTGTCTATCAGTCTCACTTACACGCTAAAACTACTGAACCGATTTAAATGAAATTTGCTACACAGTTAGTCTAGACCCTGAGAAAGGACATAGGCTACTTTTGAATGCGATAGAAATGGTATAAGGGGTTGAAAGAGTTATGTATGGAAGTGTCGTCATTTTTGAAGATGAAACGATGAAACTTTTTCATTTGGCTTTTATTGATTTAGGTCATTAAATATTTTTTTCATTATTTGGTCAAGGTCACTTTCGCGGACGAAGTCGCGGGTACAGCTAGTCTTATATATAGATCTTTCTCGCAGACATGTTTTACTGATGCAGTTAATAAATTGAAATGTTCATAGATTCAAATTCGTATTAGAATGTCACTCCCACAAAAGTTGTACTAACTATACAATGCCGAAGATATAGGCGTATGTCCTCAAGTAGAGAAGATTATAGAATGTTCCCGCAAATGCGAGCAAGTAAATTGACAGTGTTTTATTGAAAATACAAAAAAACGAATATTGATTTTTATACGTCATGAAGGAAGGGTCTTAATGCTACTTCTATCGCACTCGATTATTTTTGTCAGTATGGTCGAATAAGTCCGAAGAGATATGGCCCAACGCAACAACGCTGATTCAATAATGGCAAACCTCCCTATGGTTCCTATCGGTGATAAATATACACGCCCTTTTCTAGAGAGAAGAGCATTGTTGATTGGGATTGGGAACTGAACTGATGGACCTATTGCTGTGTATAATGTTAATAGCTTCTTAACCTTTAACGTTAACGCTCCACACAAACACCTATATTTCCTTACCTTCAATTGCGATTACAATTATATACATATAGTCATAGTCCTGAAAATTTTTAAGCAATATGGTATTTATTAGAAATGGCGGTAAACTGATGGACCAGGTGGTAAGCTGTAAATGTCGTCAGTCTGCCTCTCTCTGGTCAATGGTTGGATTATGGCGCTATGTAAAATCATATGTATATGACACGATATCATATCTAATCATAAATTATAGTGACGTAGAATGTGCCAACGATATGCATCATAGAATCATGAAATGAATTTGCTACAAACAATTTACTGAAGTCACATGTATAGACAGATTCCGTTATAAAGTGTATTATTTCGTTTAATTCAAATTTAAAAAGGTGTAAATCACAGTCATGTCGTGTAAGTATATCTACTATATATAATTAATATAAATTACGTAAAAGTGAAAATATATAATACTTGTTTATCAACGCCATTACCTTGTAGGTTTACGTGTGATGTGATTAATTTGGTCGTTTAAATTGGTAATTTAAGCTATTTACTTGTTAAAATGTTTAGTACGAGTGTCTTTGCAAAATATTGTGTGTGTATATATTAAATTTACAAAAAAATAATACAACTATATCACTAAGTATAATTTACACTAATAAATAGGTCACAAATAACACTTCATTGTTTGTAGATAAAATTTTATTTAATATATTATAAACAAAACTGTGCTCTATATTAATATTTATTAACGCTATTACCTTGTACATTCATGTCTTTTGTGTTTTACACAAGTTTGGTATTTTAAATTGGCAATTTAAACTATGAATGACATCAATATGTACGAATGTCTTTGCGAAATTTTGTTCTACCTGTACTAAATTTACATAAAATTACATTAAAATAAGTTTAATTACGCTAATAATTAAGTTATATTAACGAATAACACTCCATTGCTTGTAGATAAATGATAATTATCAATATTTAATTTATGTATAATGAACAAAGGTACGCTCTATATTAATAACATAAAATGTATAGGTATATGCTGCATTATTCAATTATCGTAAAATATAATTTATATTATCGTAACACACTCGTACTACATTTAAAAATTGTCATGTACCTACGTCTTTACGTTTCTTTATATGTTATGTCAATAAATTGAGAGGAATAATAAAGGATAAACTAGAAAAAAATATTGATTTATTGAACAATGATATCAACTATACTGAAAGAATACTTCTATATTTTTTTGTTTGTTTCTATAGCTTAGGAATATTTATTATATTGCTATTCTGGACGGCGACGACGAGAGTGTCATCCTTCAGTACGTTATTTCACCAATCATTTTCTTTAACTACAACTTATAAATCAATATATTTGGTAACTGAAATGGGTGAGGAAGGAAGAAAAGCCTACGCGGACGACTTAGTAGAAAATCTATCTAAGAAAATTAGGTTATTACAAAAATTTTTAATTTCCAGACCCACCACCATCAGGGCCTCCTCCCCAATACACGCCGTATCCTGGTCAACAACCAGCGCCCAGTACATATTATGCAAACCCAGGCTCCGTCACTTATGTACCAGCACCGGTATACATGCCCGTATATCCACCTCAAGCGAATGTCGTGCCTCAACCTCAGCAGCCACCAAACTCCACATACGTCACAAACATTTACCAGCAACCCATACCGGAACCAGTTCAAGTCGTTGAACATGCTACAGGTAAGTGGTCATGGATGGATCTTTTGCATTAAAGTATAATTTTGCTAGCAAGACATCAGTTCTTGAAATATCTTGAAACTTTGATATGATTGGTTAAAACCGTCGCCTAGTAGTTTATTATCCTAACTTACATACAATAGGTCGTAAGTTAAAATCTGGTTGACACAAAAAACGTTGTGTGTTGGTTATATTTCTTTTAGAATAAATGATCTATTGGGGGTGGGCGATGAGACTAATAAATATTATTAGTAGAAATATTTACGAATAGCTAACATGTTTTGATCACCACGCGAAGACCGTCATCCTAAGGGAAATCTCTGGAAACAAAATTATACCGCCAAGGTGGAAAAACGGTCTGTACTTCATATAATGTTAGTGCAGAAGTGTAAAATAAAGAAACAGCAAAATATTAAGAAACTTGGGAAGTTATTTTTTTATATTTCAATTATTTCAATAATAAAATACCAAAATAATTACAGCATCATATATCATGAAACCATTTTCATATCTAATACATAAGCATTTCAAAGATAGAACTCGAATCTTATTTTTAAGCATTAGCCCTTATTAACCATGCTACTGTTTCGTTTCGTTTTTTATTTCTTAACTAAATATATGGACATTAAACAAAAGTAATTTGTTGTAAATTTCAGAGGTTATTGATTGGGTATCAGCTACACCAAACTTAATTGACAGTCTTCGAAGCAGAGCACTAGTGGCAGGAAGAGAAGGCTGGGATTCTAGCCCACTGTGGGTAATTAGAGCTCATCACGGCGGCGAATTTGTCCCAGGAAAACTCTCCGTCAAATATCGTTCCGCTTATGTACCCCATACGGGGAGAGAAGTGCCAGTGCACAATTTTGAGGTAAAACATAAACAATCAGTAATTATAATATCTCTGGACAATTCGCACAGTGCCATCTAGTCCCAAATTAAGCAGAGCTTGTCTTGTGGCTTCCAAACAACTAACCACAGATAACATAATATTACATACAACTTAAATACATGGTTATATTTTTTTAGTAAAAATATACAGATTATACATAGAAAACACCCAGACTGATACAAACAATCATGAATTTAAATGGTTGTACCGTGCGAGGAATTGATCCCGTGACTATCGGAAGTAAGGCGGTGTGTTTAACCGCTAGAGTCCGCCGCGGTCATCCAACATTATAGTTAAAGATAGATTTCAGATTGACTGATGGATTACTTTTATTTTTAAATTAATGACTAATAATTAAGTCATCAATACAAGTACATATATTTTATTCGTATGTAAGGTATTATAGTTGACCTATTTAGTGAAGTAAGTACCAAAAGTGTGCATTTTCCTATGCCCTTCAATCGCTATCTGTTTTTACCCAATGGTTTTAACTAGTAGAGAATGACATATGGCACTAAGCTCGGCAATTGTATACATTTTTAAATAGTCCATAAATAATAGACAAATTTTAATCGACCAATCGAAAAATGAACTAACTAAATTTAAATGATATTACTTCAATTATAACATATATTATAAAAATTGGTCAATCTTTTAAAACTAACCTTATGCTGTTGTTATATATTAGTTATCGTGTACATTATAACTTCGATTATGTAATTTAAGATATATTTTATCAAAAAGTAGTGCTCTGTATCCTCCCGGCTGTATAAGGTAGTTAAGGATTGTGACGAGATTCTTTATGATATCAAATCTAAGTAGATTTTGATAACCCAAATTCTCTAAAAAGATTATTTTATTTACGAAACCATATAATTCATCAAAAACATTTATACTTCATAATCTCCATATGAAATTATTTTGTTCATCCAACGCGTTATACTTTGGACAGATTTATGCTGTCTTATTTATGGGTCACCTTTTATTGTATGGGTTCGTACTCAAAACAATAAATTAATAAAAATTTATGTACGGTTATCAGTCTATCATTGCGATATAATTCGTTTGATTACACTGTTTTTCGAGATAAGCTCAACGGTGTCACATTAGATTATTTGCGTAAAATGAATAAAAAATTACCATTCCTTTTCTTTACCAGGAGTAGGTAGGGAGATATTTACTACAGATGCCTATTTAGTTTACTTAATAGATTTCACAATTTTAATTGGAATTTATTTGGAATTTTAAATGCAATTTGGTGTTTGAATTGGGTTTTAGGTTACTATTGTCATTACTATTAACATTGTCTCGGTCACTGGACGAAGTAGTGGGGAAAACCTGTTGTAAAAGTAGATTCTAATTGACAAATAATCACAGAGTCATCTGCGTTATAGTCATACTAGTTCCAACAGCTCTTAAACACAATGGTTATATCGGAGAGAGAAACGAGAGAAAGAAGAAAGAAAGAGGAGTTTTTAGTTAGTTGGGGACTAGTAAGACCATTGCTAGGTATGTACCATGTAAGTTTTATCTCCATGTGGTCTTCTCTAGAAATCATCATTTTTTAATTACTGTTTCTACAACTTATCTATTTTTGTATCATGAAAGTACAAAAATATATAAGTTGCTTCATTAACATTTTTTCAGGTGTTATTGGCTAAATCCGACGATGTGCGCTGGCTCCCATGTGCTGGCGGGAAGGTACCACCCGGAGCCATAGCTGCTGGCAACACGCATAGTGGTGAACCACTCTACATCGCAAGAGTAAATCATTCTAACACTGTCACCCCAGGAAAAGTGAGTTTTAGAAGATACATCCCCATATATTTTTTAAGTTAGGAAGAACTACCATTAGCTAATTGTACACATGTATAACATGAATGTATGAACATACATATATTCTGGTTGGATCTTTGTTGAAGTAAACGACATTTTGTATAATAAGCATTACATTCTTAGGAGGTAAAAGAGAGCATTCTCAATAATCTATGTCCTTGAGCAAGTAATCAATAGGTACGCCATAGTCAATCTCTCTCGTTTCGGACATATTGATCATCAGAAATAAGTGCTAACCTTCTCTTAAATAAATTAAGCTATATATGTGTCTTGTAACGACTGAATGAGTTGGGACTGGTGGTAAAAATGACACAACATATAAAAATAATAAAGTTAAGAGGTCCAATTTTTAAGGAACTGAATAACGAAATCGCACTTCGGTTCGGTTTCGGATGTAAAAAGTTTTTGCAATTATTAATTTTATATTAGAAATTCTGAAAGTATAACTTTATTTCTATATTGTTAAGTAAAGAGTTATCTCGTAAATTGACAGTTGTATACGTCAAATAATGTATAATATTAATTCTGGAAGGGCTCTTAGTCGTAACTTTAAAAAGAACTTACTAAATAGTGAAGTTGATTGTATTTAGTTTCATTGGAAATTGATATTGTAATTGATTATTTTAATTGATTTAATTAATTGGTATAGAATATAATCATTGACGAATATTAGAAAACATAGTATAAATAATTTTATTATTCGCAAATATACGTAGTTTAGATTTGGTATAGGTTAATACTGAAACAGAAACCAAGAAAATTGTAGGATTATCAAAAAGATTCAGCTATGTCAGCCGTGGAGCAGTTTGCTTGATAAGATATGTTTCGGTTGAGCGATGGAGAAGAAGCGTGAGTTAAAACAGAAAAATTACGTTATATGAGGCATCTTAATCCTCAGGACTTGCTTGCTTGTTTACTTGAATGTGATGGCCGTAGTGCTGTTCGCGTATATAAAAATCATCAGTTATTTAAAAACATTTTTGACAACTAAAGTGTACATACATATATAATAAAGTACGTAATTAAAATTACGTAGATATTTACTATATATAATTTTTCATTATCTCTTTCTTTTCAGGTCCATCCTAGTCATAATTGCTGCTATATTTCATTCGGAGGAAAGGAAATTTCATACCAATCGTATGAAGTTCTGTGCAGATCGTTCATCTAAATATTATCAATTATTTATCCTGTATTTCTTGCCACATAATTTATATCTTTAACTTAAATTCAATTGAAAAGCAATATGCGTTTACTAATAACTTTTTTTACTGTATATAATAAATTATTAGTTAATAATTATTTATCACATATTCTAACATTCTATATCTATTGTTTCAAGATCATTTGTTCGAACATCTTATAATTATTTTATCTATAAAAAAATATTAAATTTATGTTTAACACGTGCTTATTAATATAATTGCTTTAAATCTGCCGTGTTCTTTTTCTCACAATAACATGTATATTTTTTTAACCATATAGGTACCACTATAATTTAATTTATTTTCTTCAGTAGTTATATTTATTTCAATACTATTTAATATCTATCAATTTATTTGGTATTCTTTCTTATTTTGTAATAAATTAAATTATTAAATTATTAAATATATTAAATATAAAAATTTCGTTATTAAATTTTGTTTAATTTCAGTAGTCATACATTTTTTTTAACTATTCTAATGTTGTTGACTGCAGCTGTCTTGTACAGCTTCATGGAAAGATAGGGAGCGAGTGTAAAGTATACTCCAAAACGCTGAAAGGACTTATGGAACGGCTGAAGGCCATCGGATTTCGAACCTCAGGTCAGGCCTTCATAATTACACTAATTTACCTAGCGTCCTGTTTGTACACTTGGAAGAGGGGATACATGGGAGAGGATTAAATAACGTGTAAATTATAAAGTCCCGCACCAAACAATCCTCATTAGATTTAGTCGTCAATTAAAACGTTATATTCCAATATAATAACTTGGGTAGCGTCGATTCAAAATTTGGAATAAGTATTTTTTCCAATTTCAATCAAAATTTTAATATTTTTATTATAACTTCCTTTGCTAGAGGGCTCGAAGACCAAAGGTTCGCGACCCCATCTCAAAAAGATTTCATATTATTTCTTTGATCTGTCTGTATGATCTGTCGTACGTCTGATTACATTGGGATCACCGCATTACGACTTAAAATTATTAAAATTATTTTTCTCGGAAACAATCTGAATTAGTATAATACTTTTATTAAATGTTCAATTTAACAACTTAAATAATAGTACCCTGTGCTGTGCGGCTGTGATGACTAATCATATTTTCTTTTATGTATATTAACTTTCATAGCATTAATCCATCTTTTTATCATCATCCACTTCTATATAAAGTACTTTCATTAGAACATGGTCCAGAGTCCGGCCGCATAACATGTGAATACCAAGATAATTTGTTACCTCGCAATTTCTCTATTATTGGCGCAACTTTTAACGGAATATTCTATAAGTCACGTAACAATGATTAAAATTCAAAGTTATATAAATAATTTATTTATTACTAAACACAAATTCTTGATGATAAATGGACATTTAAACACAAATAACAATATACATTTTCAGGTTAATTGTACTGTGCATCATAGAATAAATTGCTCAGATTGTTTTAACGGACATGTTGCAAAATTTATGTTCTAAAATATATAGAAGTAAAATTACAGAGCATATCCGCACGAACTTTCTGATTGAAATGAACTTTCAATTCTGTAGAATTGAAAACATTTCTGCCTATTAATATGTTACTATCATCTCATCATTGGACCGCCTCCTGGAGCATCATCTGCCACCATAACTGGCTCTGGTCCTCCGAATACTGGACCTTGGGGTTGTTCCGCTATATTCACACCACCTCCGTCATCTCCGCAAAGACAACTGCAGCACAGCCCCATGGCTCAATCTGGAAATTAATTTTTTATTATTTTATGTAATATTGATCATAGATCGTTGATGCCGATTCCTTAATATAAAGGAAGAGCCCATGGGTTACTGTCGAAAGAAAATAATAAATGGTAAAAATACAATGTTTTCTATTATGGTTATGAATCATTTACCGTTGAAACGATCGAACATGTACATTTTAGATACTCTTTGGTTATCTACATCCGAAAATGAGGTAATTCAGTAAAAACCGAACAATTAAATAGCTAATTTACTGACTCATATCAAGGAAAAAATATATTAATATATAGTACCTACTACAGATAGATAATATTATCAATTAATCATTAAATTGCTAATCACAGTTGTGATTATCAACGCCTTTTTATTAAATTCTTTCTGCTGCAGATATGGCCGGCGAATAATATTTTTAAACTTTTTTACTCGTATAGGTATATAAAACTTGATAAACATTGTTTATGCAATTATTTAGTCTTAACACTGAAATTAAATACAAGAAATCTTGCAAAAAGGTATTAATTGTTATCAATGACAGATAAATTAACTTTTTTTAAGTAATTGAAATGGCAAACAACCTTACAGCTCATCTATTTGTAAGCGGTAACCAACCAACCAACCATAATGTTTACAATGTTACGTTTAAACATTTTTTAAGATATTCTATGGAACTCAAATGGTTCACGGCTGATGTTTGTATCAATGTTTTATCACAGTTTATCAAAATACCCACAGTATTTAATTTTTATAACATTTTCAAGAGAATTCTATCATTATTTCCCAAAGATACTAATTACTAAATTGCTTAGTATATAGGTAATTACACTCTGTATCATTTTGACAAACACGATAATATATCGCATGAGGTTTCAACCAAACAGATAAAACCGGGTGCTAAACCTAGGTAGGTTTGCCACACCTACCTAAGAGAGACGTAAGAAATAACACAATACTAATAATTACGTAGACCTTTCACAATAACAATGACGTTTCATAAGTGAAAAAAAATTATAATATAGACCGGTATTTATTTACAGTACTTAACTATTCCGTAATTTAGCCCGTTTGGAATTTACTTTACATATAAATTTAAAATAAGTTATTTTAAGTAAGTTTAAAATAAATTATTAATTTTAAAATATCAAAGTATAAATTTAATCTATTACGAAATTAATGAGAGAAGGTATTTGATGTTACAGAATGTCAAGTCAACCGGGTTTCTGAAATAGAAATAGAAATAATCTTTATTCAAATAAACTCATTAAATAAACTCACTCACAATACAAGCACTTTTGAATAGTCATATTTTGATTCTACCACTCATTCGGAATGCAGATTCATCACAAGAAGTAGACTAGAGTCTTTTTCAGCAGTTTAAATCTGCAGTCATATTTAAATTATTGTAAATAAAATGATTCTTTCCATTTTGCTCTTTCCATTTTAATACAACTTAAAAAACGAATATACTTTATATTACGATGCAATTAGTATATATAGAACTGGCCTTTATTTTTAACCAGTAAAATATATAACATGAGATTATATAATATCTCTGAATAAATTTTACAAAACTCAGAACAGCCTTTTAATAATGACATCATTCTGAAACTTATGCTAAGTTATTTAAAAAATACCACTTACCTACTGTAACTCAAATTGGTAGTCGACTATTCAGTAAACGATTAGTCTAACACTATGTACAGCAACGAATTTAAGTATGTATTTATCCAATATAGCCGAAAAGCCACAAAGTTGCAACTTATGGGTAAGATAAGATAAATTTATCACATTGTTTCATACATATCGTATCGCTACGTGCCTTTATTCGTCACAGTATGACTGTACGTACCGGAGACACTTGTAGAGATACCAACTGACACTAGATAATCGGTTACTTTAAGGACTACTTAAATGGTCAAGCTATTTGAGTAAGCATTATGCAAATAAATTAAAAAAATACGCCTATTAGAAATCTGATCACAAATTTGTACTTTTCGAGTTCAGTTTGTTATTATGCTTGCGATTTGTATACAACAGGAACTGTGAACTCGGAACTCTCTATGAAGCAGCTTTAACTCCGTCTCTATTTATCAAAAGCACTATATGATATGTAATGTTTGCTTGATAAAACAGTTAGACTGTCTCTGAACTCTTTATAAGTTAGAATACGGCAGTACTTTTATTGACAATGTATGACTATTTACGGTTATAGTCATTAAGCAGGTGTCTTTATAAAGTCAAAACTAAGTTAAAGACAACATCAATAAACGTTTTACTTAAGGCGATATTTGAAATCTTTACTTATTTATAGATACCCTGTCTTCAGATACTCCTTATGTTTACTAGATTTTTGTAATTATTACATATATTGTGGAATAGAGAAACGGTAAGCAAGGTAAAGGACCATTTAACCAAAAGTAGCAACTGTCGTTTATACACTGTTCATTTATTATTAGTGGTACCACGGATGTAACATCCGTAGTACATCTCATACGTTGTCATTCCTAATGACGACAGTGTCAGGTAGGTAGGGAGGTATTGGTATTGCAATTTGACTGCTATACCTATGCCTATACGTTATACTAGAAAAATAGCTAATAAAAGAAGTTAAATACATCCACACAGACTTTATATACAGTCTAGCTTAATAACATGATTTATATTGTGGAACGGTACATGATTTCGCTTCTTGCTGGCGGGATATTAATGAAATAATGATAATTATATGACGAGGGAATATTATGATCATCTCAGCTTCGTTACTAATTCACTGAGGATTAAATAAAACATTTTTCCTGTGAATCACGGGGAAAGGTTTGTTAATTTACTTGTAATGAGTCCATAATCCTAGTGTCACACTGCGTCTTGACTCAGACAAGGGCAATCTTTTATACATAGGATAAAGATAATGAGTACTGTGAAATAGATTGAGAGTTGAAATAGACACTTGTGCAAGTCTTATTATTATTTGTTACCTTATTATTTACTATAGAATATTCCTATGCATGAACGCCTTAAAAATTGTAATACTTTTGTTGCAAAATCTATTTAGAATAAGGAAGTATAGCATGAAGATGGTGATGATCTTCTTTATTATATAGTATAAAATGACTTCACTGTCACTTCGCTATATGTTATATTTTCACTTAGATGTTTGAAACTGCTCAACGCATTTTAATACAGTTTTCGCGAATAGATATTTGATGATTTAAAAGGAATGTCTATATGCATAATATATAGGTACATTGTAGTACGGAAAAGCCAAAAAAATTAAATATA